GTTCCTTGAACAGAGTTCGTTTATTAGAAATGCTGGTACATGTTTAGGCAAGATTATGCAAGTTCTAGGGTTACTTACGGAGGTATCCAGTAAAAGTTTACCACCGGTGCAGCCCAGGCCGCATATCTTGCCATTCCTGATCCACGGCTCCTGGATCGCGGCGATGGTCTTCGGATTGGTCTCCAGCAGTCTGCGTAGGGAAGCCGACGCTGTCTGACTGTGCTGGAGGTTAGCCTGGATGAGGTCAGTTCGGCGATGGGGAGGAGCGCAGACAGCTGTCGCTGAGTTCACTCCCCCGGTCTCCTGAAACAACTCATCATCCGATGTTAGTTGCACCGGTGACGGTGGTTGTGTAGCTACCTCCATAGGGACGTGTGCCCCGGTGACCGAAGCCGCCCCCGTCAGGGACGTGGGCAGCCCCGGCCCCGACGACGCCACCCCCGATGTGCTGGCAGCAGTTGGTGGGGCGTTGGCCACCTGCGAGGGCTCATCCCTATCCAGGATGCGGATATAGATGTTCCCCATCAGGTAGTATAAACGCCGATTATGCTCTTTGATTTTTGAGATCTCAAACTCCGGCACACGAAAGAAGAGGGACACGCCTGTCGGGTCCTGAGTTCTTCGTTCGTGTGTCAGGGTCCAGGATCTGATGTTGAGGTGGCGGTTTTGCCTCGTGATCAGTTTCCTCAGTGTCTCCGTGTTGCCACTGTAGTCTGGTACATGTAGCAGACACGGAATCCTGTTCGGAATCGCCGATTGAGGCCGAACCACCAACCTGGTGTCAGGTACTGGATTTGTGATGACATCACAAGTTCCGGTCAGCCAACCCAGAGTGTAAGTGTCCTCGCACCAAGTTTTGAGGACACCATCCGAGAAATGGGCCTTACCCCGGAACCTGATGTCGTTGGGCTCGGTAGTTAGGGTAGCATCAAGATCCGCCAGGAGCTCATCTTGAATTTTACCCTCGATTTGTAGGCGGATGTTATCCGCCTGTTCCTGTGTCATATCCACGAAAGGCTCAGTCATCACGGCAACACAAAGCTCGTTAGCTTTGTATGATGCTGCCGCTTCCGCGTAACTGGCCGAGGTCCCTGCCACTTTCTGGGGTCTGTTGGGTTTGACCCTTTTACTTTCCCCAGTCGGTGTTACGGTTTCCTCAGGCCGGTCACGCTTCTGGCCCTTCGTGGCTTGGTTTGTTTTGGAACTCTTAGGTCCCTTGCCGCACCCAGAGCAGCTAGGCACGGGCGCAGCAGTGGATCTTTTAGGCTTCGGTGTCCTTTTCCCGCCTCTCTCAACTGTGGTTACAGCGGGGGCAGTTCCAGGTTTCACAGGTGGCCTCGGAGCGCCGGTGACCAGCTTCTGCTGTTCCGACGCCCTTATGGCTCTCCCTGTGCCGTCGCCTTTTAGAGTTGCTAACGACCATTTTGAAAGTCGGCTCCTGAATTGCGGTCTTCAGGGCCGACATATCCATGGTCGTGGTTAGTGCCCTGGACGTGCCCTCCGCCGCAGCCTCGGTCTGCCGCATCGTTCTTGCCGCGGAAGCACCCCTTCAGACGCAGACAGTGCTGTATCATCGTCCGGAGTTGCTATCTTTGGCTCGACCGACGCAGTCAACCTGGCCGCAGCAGTGGTCACATCCTTGTGCGGTTGTATACGGGATTCCATCGGATTGGGTACGGGCCGGAGTGCAGCCCGGATTGGTGCAACCCCAGCCGCTGCCCTCTCCTTTGGGGTCCCGGACGCTGCCCGTGAGGGTGCATCGGTGTGTGTGACAGGGGCATCAGAGTATCGCGCCACTGGTGACTTGCACCGCGACACGTCCAAAGACGCAACCCTGGGTTTGTTGGTGTTTGTGATTGTTTGTTTTAGTTTCTTTGCCTCTTTATCCATGAGGTGATATGGTTTGGATTCACCATTGGAGCTCTCCACCCGCCACGGAGCCCTCACGTCGGGGACGTCCCTTGCTCAGCAAGCGACGTCAGAGCTACTCCTCCGGTATAGAGCCAGCACGTAGGGAGGCAGACGCATCCGCACGCAGCAAGGAAGTACGGAGCTGTTCGCGCCACGAGACTATGACGCAAACTCACCCCGAGTCCCGCGCCGCGCCGACGGCCCCCCCACATCCCGACTCTCGCTCGGCAGCCCGCTTATGGGATGCCACAGCCGGTTGACCGTGGTTAGCTAGACCCCGGCCTCCCGTGTGAGGAGAAATCCAGACCAAAGAGGTGTGTTGTGTGCAGCGCACAACTGTTCCGGCGCACTACTCCACTCAACCCCCAGGATTCCTTCATCCCCCGTACGGGTCCCCGCGCACGGCACAAACACGCGGGAGGTCATTTACTGTCCACCGTCCTCCCTTTTTTGGACGATGAACTCGCAAGGACATGACCTCTCCATCCCTGCAATAGTTCGCTTGGCGGTTTTAGTTACGTCTAATACATAGGGTATTAGACCAAGAACAGGGTCGGCAACCTCGAGAAGGTTAGTCCACCAAACTTGCTTTGAGGGGATCATAGCGACTTGCGCTACCCCCAAAAGCCACGCCTCCCTACCCATCAGAAGGATGTGGTAGGATGGGTTTGCACCTATGCTACCATGCAAGCATGTCGTACTGGGAACCGTAGAAGCATAGACACAAACCCCCCCGTACATATTATCTTATTCGATGTGTTATTTTTACAAGAAATTGGGTAACAGTAACTAAGATAACTTTAACAGGAAGTTACGTGTAGTAAGTCCGCCTATCAAAGATATTTCAAAAGCACTTTTATCTTATCGACACAATTGGGGGAAGTAAGCCGCCTTTTGGGAAATCTATTTTACCTAAATAGATACGTAAAATAATTGAACAAGTGTTATACAAACATTTTTTTTAAATGTAAAATATATCTAATATATAAAATTCTCGTGTCACAATGTTGGTTCCCATACTCCTCTAACGGCTCTACCGATTCTTATGAATTTTATATGGATATTCAGTAAGTCTGAGAATCGGACTACATCTATTTTTCATCCCCTTAAATGTTTAGGGTGGTCCACTAAAATTTTTTTATTTTTAAGTTTTAGACATAACATTTTTTTTTTACATACAACCCTTCATTTTCACCCCTCCACGATCAACACCTTTTTGTATTATAGTAGATAGATATTTTTATTGAACTAAAAAAATGTTTCCTAGAAATAATATAGGTACATGGCAAAACAACGTTTGCCGGGTCAGCTAGTATTTAAATAATAATATACGAATGTATGCAAACGCATATGAATATAATTGTTGAAGTTACTAATTTGTCTTTTTAATTAAATAAAGTTATATGATAAAATGGTAAAACAATGTACTTTTTGTAATTACATTATTATTTATTCCTTGACTTCCAATATACACCAGTTAAGAGAAATACTTATCTATATTGTTTTTAATAAATCCTTTTCATTTAAAAATTAATAAAAAATATTTTCTTATAAATAAGATAACATGTTTCAAACACCCACCTTGATTGGATAAAATATCAAGGGGCATAATGCTTTAAAATTAGCAAATACCAAGAAAGTGATAAGTGAAGTAGCTATCAACTGAAAATAATTTTCCTTCAGACGAAGTACATATTTTGCGTAAAATCGACTTTATGAATCGGCTCTCAAAGTTCTTTATGAAATAGTCTACACAACGACGAAGATATTATCCTCCAAACAACGTTGATAAAAGAATTTCTCTGTTCAGCGTTCATGAAACGACGTGTCCCTTCGTCGTAACTCATCCCAGTCGGCATATTACTTTTATATAATGCAGACCATAACATCGTAAAACATTCTCTAGAGAGTATTCATTAATAGTAATAAGTTTGAAATATGCTATCTATAGATTAGCTTTCAATATATTGATCAAAGTTTTGCAACCACTTAAAATACAGGTAAAACTATAAAACAGCCTTGTGTGCCTTGTAAAAAAAACATCCGGCTTTCGAACCCGGAATATACGTAAATATAATTATTTTATATATCGCAACTACAAACTAACTAACAAAAGTCGTTAATGTTTTAGTAAAAATCCATAATCGTGTTCTGTGCTCTTTAAATTAAAATATTTTGTAACTTAAGGCTTAGTTATTTGCTTATTATTAAATCTACTCGACTGACGGCGGCGTATGTATAATACCTATACATACGCCGCTAATAAAAAAAAACTAAATCTCGATTTTTATATATATATATATTATATATATATATATATATATATATATAGTAAATGGTGTGATATAGATTTTCCTACACATAACAACCACCATTAAAGGCACTTACTAAAGAAAAGAAATGAACGCAGAAAGACTCGTCCTTTAAATATAGACCCAAAATATTAAAGGAATCTGTGCTTAGTGCTAGTAAATACTTGTCCACCACCAATAAGAAACCTACATTGACATAGACAATTGACAGTTTGATGTTTAGCATTGTAGTCTGTGGTGCTAGTGATCTTTGACATTTCACATTACATTACAATAATTAATCTTTTTCGTTTAAGTTTTGACGCATCGCTGAAAAATATTTTTTCGTTTTGTAAAATAATATGGATGGTGTTTATGAAGACAACTATGTATCTGCCATATTTTTTGATCTAGATAACACTTTAATACAAACTAGAAAAGGAGACTCAAAAGCTTGCAATAAGGTGAGTTCTTTATTTGCCTAAGTTGACATTGGATGAGCGCACTGCGCTGTCATCGCCATTTGCCAATACTAAAATCCTTATTACGTCGTACTGAATTTGAACATCGTTAATGTTTCGTAGCTTGCACCCGCATGGTTGATGCTTACGCTCCAGTATTATATAAATAGAACTTTCAAAGTTGGAGAACGCGAGCTCAACGTCCAGATTTAGATATTTTGAAAGAGAAGTCGTGCTATTAATAAACGTGATGTGAACAGTGTTCGAATGAATCAACATCTCTGTCCAGTAGAGCTAGATCATTTGCCTTTTGTGAGCGCTTAGTGTTTTAATCAAAATGGGAGAGATATCGGAATCAATTAAAAAATGCATAGCTATTCTTAAAGCAGCTCAAAGCGATACTGAGAAATTCGCCGCGCTATTCATGGTTACGAAACTAGTAAAAGGAAAAGACTGCAATACTACAGCAAAGAAGGTCTTATTTGAAGCAATTGGGTTTAAATTCCTCAAGAAGCTTTTAACTGGAACAAATGCGCAAGATGACTGTCCCCCATCAGTATACAAATCAGTGGCCCTATCAATACTTACATGCTTTTGTATTGAACCAGAACTTGCAACACATCCTGAAATGTTGGCTAATGTACCAGTTTTTCTTGATATAGTACAGACATCTGACAATGATGATTATGATGATAACCTCATAATTGTTAGTGAAGCTTATACATGCCTACAGTGTATTGCAGAACATGAAGCTGGACAAAAAGCTTTAATTGAAGTAGGTGCTATTACTAAAATGTCAGAAATTTACTCACACCAAAGTTTTCAGACAGATGAAGCCCTAAATATTTTAGTTAAACTAGTGAGTCGTTATGGCCCTGCAGCATGGGGAAATGACCCTAAACCTTTTCATGCCTTAGTCAACAAGATTGCTCTAGATTTTGCTACAGATCAGTCTGAGAGAAAATTTGAGTTGGCAACCATTTTAAGTGCACTGTTATATAGTTGCAATAAAGACACTGTATTGCCAGGATCATCAGATGAAACTTGGCCGCAAAGTATCTACAAAGCTTTACATGATGTATTGACCAGCAAAATAGGAAAAAATCAAAGAGATCCTGCATTGAAACTAGCTGCTAATATCATAGATTTATTAGGAATTGAGTGGACATTCAATGATGAAGAAAACCCAAAAAAATTCTTTCTTTTACTTCTACAACTTTGTGCAATAGAGATAAGAATGCAGCTTGAAGACAGAAGTTTTAAACAAGCCTTTGCCAATGCAGACTTAGTAACTGCTTGCTTTTTAGTTCTTGAATCTTCTATCAATTACATGGCCTCAGATCAATTGGATTTAGAACAGAAAGAAAAACAGTCCGTCTATACAAGCCTAAAAGGTGCTTTTAATGCTGTTGTTTCAATACTTACTAAAGTCTCTAATGACAAAAACCGTGACAAACTTCCTGATGCTGAAAAGGTGTTTGTGTGTGCAATGGTCAGAGTATTAGTGGCTTGGCTAGCTCAAGAAACAACTGCAATGAGAGATCAAGTTTATAACCTACTTCCATTCATGTTTTCCCTTGCCAATGATTCGTTCCATGCCTACAGAGCTCGAAAACTAGCAGAGAAAAATAAATCTGAAGGAGAAGCCATGAACACAGATGTATGCTTGATGGGACAGATAGATTTATTACGTTTAATGCTGCCAGCACTTTGTCATCTGGTTGTAGAGGACAAAGCTAGGGACATCACATTAAATTTAAAGGAGGAAGACATATTGTATGAAGCGATGAACTTTCACTGGTCTATAGTTCACTACAAAAAACCACCAATACCAAAATCTGAAAGACTAAAGGCAAAGAAACCTGAACCCGAGTTAGAACCTCAGGTATTGGAAGATATGAAAGATTCAAGAGCAGCTATGGTCAGCCTATGCAATATTTTCATGAATCTCACTGTACTAGCTCCTAAAGTTGTTGAAGAAAGCATGCTGTTTAATACTTTATTGAAATTCATTTTCAATAATTTACCGGAACTGAAAAGCATCCCTGAAAATCTCGTTTTACATGGACACTTGGCAGTATTAGGATTATTGTTACTTAAGCAACAAGGTGCCAGTAAAGTGAAGAAAAATGACTTTTCTATTTGTCGGTACATACAGTCAAGTATACGGTTTTTATGGGATGCCTACATGGTTGACGAATCAAATGACCCTACTGCTCTTGTTGTATCAATGACCTATAAAGAAAATTGGGGAGAAATTGCTGACCTATGGTTTTTGGGAATGCAAACGCTAAGTGGTGTGTTGACCATTGTACCTTGGATATCTGAGTTTGCCATTGAAAGTGGTTGGGCTGAAGGCATAGCAGAAATGCTTGCAAAAGTAAAGGTTGGTACACTGCCACCAAACATTAAATCTGCATTTGAGGATTTCCTTTGCCGTTTAGTTGACTCAAATGAGAATGCAAAAGCAGTTTTAAAGAAAGGTGGTGCCTTGAAAATGTGCAGAAGCCACAGAATGATGGATCTTGGAAAAAAGTTGTTTGGAGATTAAGGAGCAAGCCAATATTCCTAACCTGATATATAATATTTCAACTAAATGTGTGAACTGTTAAAGTGTTAATTGAACTATAAAACTAAAATGTTGTCACTGTTCTAACTTGATTTTTATAAATATAAATATTAAATACTTTTTGAAACTTTTTATTAAAAAACCTTATTTTATTATATGTAAACATCACCTTGTTAAAAGTATCTAATATAGGTATCTTCTTTCATGTCATTGTAGTGCCAACAAGCAGGTGAATGACTTGAACTGAACAGTACAATGAACTCGCGCTATTTTTGAAGTTCACAAAATGATACTTCCTTAACTCTAAAATTAACATGGTATCCCTTGTTCCAAACACTTTGCCTTTGTTTATCATGTGTTATGCTTTTACACAATACAAATAGAAATAGCCTTAATGTGATACTGTTACATAATATCATATTTTGGTAATGCTGTAGTCGTCTGAATCTATGGGATTTCAGGGGGAAAATTTTATGTGTTAAAATATGTCTTGTCATATTCTAAACTGTAAATATTTATCAAAATATGTTCATTAATTTAAGCTTGAAGGAGCAATAAACATATATTTACTACATTCTATTATGTTATTTTAATAATTAAATATAATTTTCATATTCATAAATATTTTATAATTTGATAAGTACTAAAGAAGGTAAAAGTCTAATATAAATATCGTGAAAAACTGCAACAATCGATATTGTTTCTTCAGTTGGTGGAAATTTTACATAACGAATATGGAGTCCCCCATGAAGTTGCGACAGAGAGCGGTGCAAACTTCCTTCGCGCTTTCCGCGCGAGGCCTGACGATGAAACCTACGCAATACACGAGTGGCCGGCGCATCTTTGGCGTAATTGCTTGCCGAAAAACTATAGACACATTGCCAGTAAGTATGCATATATTATGTAATACCATATTGATGATGGCGTTAAATTTTATTATATATTTATAACGCATATAAATCTCTATATTTCTTTTCTTTAAACCTAATTAAATTATTTGAAATGTGCATATAGACATAACATTTATTACTAACGAAACACACCAAAAATAATAATCAAAAAAATAAAATCTTTTTCTTTTAAATAACAAGGTACGTTTTAAGTGTGTAATGCGCGTGTGTTGTGGTTGTAACTGGCCCTGGCAGACTGTATATTCGATCGTCAAAATTTGAGGTTCCTTTGGATATTCAATTTAAATCCGTTTATGCCATTTGTCTATCATTAAAGATTAAAATGCACGACTGAAGAATGCAATCATTAGCTGATGTCAAACGTAGTCAAATTTTCCGTAATCTGAAGTCTGAACCTACAGGCATTTCTATAGCTCATTAGTTTTGGAAGGAAGTACCTATCATTTTAGCTGCGTAATTTGGCATCATGCCGAGAATGTCAGCTAATATAGCAGTTTAATAGACCGTCGTGACTTGCAATGTTGCTTTCTACGCTTTAGTTTTTTAAAACAGATTTTTTTTTGTATTTTATATCTAAAGGACGAAACTGATGTCCAAGGCAATCGATTTAGAAGTCCTTGCTGAACGATTTGGTTTTTAAATGTTTACCTTGAACGTCTTAGCCCTTTGATTCGAATACGCGTGGAAATAATATTAGAATTGCAACCTTGAACAGTAGCAAATACATAAAAATATACCACTTGATAGGTGATATAAAAAATATTTTTTCTCGCATTGAATCTTTAGATAGATGATAGATTGTAGACAAAAACTTTTCGTCTATAAACGAACTATGTTGTAAATAACATTTTCAATGTATTATAATTGTTTCAGAAAATATATCAGCCGAATGGTTGAAATTACGTTTTAAATATTTAGCTCTGACTGCTGATGTGATACATCTTTTGGAATCGTTAAGGTATGATCTAAATGTCATTTGTGTTATAATTATGTTATGCAGAAATATTAACAGAAAGCTGAAAAAAATATTTCTTCATGATGTAAATTAAATGTCAGTTTCTTTGTATAGTTTTCTCATCGCATTTCATATTTAAAGAAATTGACAAAATTGCACAGGAATTGTTCCAAGTACCAATAAGAAAGAACAGAAGTAGAAAAACTTTGGACAGTTTCGTTGCTGTGCATGGTCTTATGTGGTTGATATTTAATTCATAATAATATTCATCTGTCAAATTCATAGCCTCACAAACTGCACGCCACATAAAACTGTGTATGGGTATTTATTGTATAGTCTGCGCATAAGGAGAACCATCGTGGGATTTAAGCTCGCAGCTGTGGTACATTATCTTTTTTTGTTATGTTGACAACACTGTTACGTCATTATAGTTCAAAAATAATCTTGATACTTAATAAAAATAAAAGTATATTAATATTATAGGCGTAGGAAATATTGATGTTAGTTCTCATAACTACCACGCCGGTTCTCTTTCCGCACAGTCTCATCCGAGTTCTTAAATGTCATTTGAAGTCAACACCAACTTCTTGTTGAGGTATGGATAGGTATTATTAAAATTTTTGTTACGTCTATAGTTGAAATCTACCTCTACAAGATTGGGTTGGCTTTGAGCGCATGTTGCTAATTAATTACTTGTTTTTCAACAGTTCAGTTGTTGCTCAACGAGTGACATAGTGGGCGACGCGTGCCCAACACTTAGGTTTGAATTATATTTGTAAAGTTAAATGAGGATACGCCAAGAAGGTAAAGCCCATTGCCTCAGAAATTTTACTTTACTATAGAGATAATTTATTTACAGACAAATATAAAAATAATGTTTTTTTACTTTAGTATTTCTTTATAGACGAATTATCTCTATAATAATTATAAGAAGTGTTCTGTTGACGAAGTATTGTTTTCCAATATTAAACAACACAGCACAACTAGTATTAAGATCTTAAAATGCTGTTTTAAATCTTGCATCTACTTTTTCCTTTGCATGGTTTTCACGTAAAAGTATGTGCAAGGTGTACCTGTTATATTTGCTGAGTTTCAGCATTATTTCGACGCGAAATAACAAAAAAGTGGGTGATGAATGACACAGGGAGGATTATCTTCTCGGTCTGATCACAAACGGGCCATCTCGAGCCCAGTGGCAGAAGATTGAGAAGCTGGGACTCCGCAAGTACTTCGACTGTGTGCTGGTCTCCGGGGACCTGCCCTGGGAGAAACCTGACCAGAACATATTTCTGGAGGCCTGCAAGTTGCTCAGCGTCGAAGCTCGACACTGCATCATGGTTGGGGATAAACTCGAAACTGATATACAGGTAAATTTATTATTCATAATAAAACCTCTGCAACTGAACATCGGATGCGGAAGACGTTATTTTATTATTCTATACAGAATTTTCACGTTTTTGCACAATTTTTGTCTTGTGGTAGCGACATCTGTCTGCGTTAATATGAAGCAGAAGGATTTTTAATATTGTCTTTGGTATACGCTAGTACTACACATTTAAATAAAACTTTTATAAGGTAAATTCAATAAACGCGAATTTATAACATTACTTACAAAACTCGACGTTTTGTGCTTTTCAGCAATCCCTTCGCTTACCACAATTGGATTGCTGAAAAGTTACAATATATTCTATATTGATACAATCTTAATTGAGTGTCATAAGGCATTGCAAACTTTTTCATAATTACCCCAGATTTATATTTTGTATAGGTGCCAAGACATTTTTAGACTTTATAAATATCATCATATAAAAAAGTGGGGCTACCTCTAAAATAATCCACCTCTAAATCTTGACCCCATATTTCTTTCTGTATCTATTTTGTGATATCTTTATTTTCTTAGACGATGAGCCTTTTGTGCCTGACGCACGCTGTCCACTTTTGGTTAAAAGGTTCACGCTCAAACCACTAGGCCAACACGGCTCTATTCTTTTATATATATTTAAACGAGTATATCAAATTTTGCAATTGAACGGTGGCCTCTAACATACAAACACGCAAGAAAGAGTGACTTTGTTTGGCTTATAAGGCTATAATTATTGTATTATTAAATATTATACTTATTTTTTTACAATACTTGCTGGTATCTTCCTGTTGTATAATAACATTATTTAAAATATACATTATAGGGTGGAAAGCAAGCAGATTTGCTGAGCACAGTGTGGATTCCACTGCACAAAGATGACTCGGAATCTGATCTCCCAGATTTCACTATACAAAATGTAACAGAGTTACCAGATGTCTTGCCAAATTCTCCAAAGCTCAAACGTTCAGCTAGTAAAATCGCTGTTTGTTAATTTTATTATATAAAGCTTCACTTAGAAGCAAAAAAACATATTTGCTTAGTTGGGTTTTAAGTTTAATGGTTGTGTTTTATTAACACCATACTGTCATAAATAAAAACACTAAATCTGTCTTCACTAACTCTGTCTCTTTTTATCAGTTTAAATATAATTGGACAGAAAGAGACAAAGTGAAACTTTAGTTTACAGAATGTAATGAGATAATTTAGTTTTTTTTTACAATAAAGTGATTTATGTAGTTACTTATGATGACGAGTCCTACATTTTAGTACCAATTATTTAAATGGTCTGTGGGTTGTGTCAAGAAAGCATAAAGAATAGAATGTAATACCAGGTCATATAAATTTTTGGTATTAAATTATCTTAAATACAATAGCAATTTTTTTTCAATTTCAATGGATTTTTTACATTTAGTGTTAAGTAGATAACTCTTTTTTTTATCAATGTTTTTAAAACGCACATCTGGCATTTGTTAAAGCTAAATTCTACCCCTAGGTTCTATTTACAAAATGCTATTTTCTCTACACTCTCTCTATATAGAGCATATTTGACATGCAGATTTTTGTAAACCTTCACTTTGGTTATAGAACCTAAAGGTAACATTTCATTAGCTGTTTAGTAAATATTTTAAGTGTTAATTAAAAGTGTAGTGATTGCTGAATGAACAGAAAATCAAATCAATATAGCAGTATATTTTATTTTTATAGCTGTTCATATTTATGTTTTTACATAATAGACAGTAATGCAATGTAATAAAAAGTACATTTTGGGAAAATTATAATTATAAACTTGTAATACCAGTTACCGAATAGTTCCTTTTACACTTAAGTTAAATATTGTCTATAGAAATGTAAATGCATCCCATAATCTATATTCAAAGTACAAAGCCAATAGTACAAAATCACCTAAAAATATACCATGGCTTTTTACTATCAATCCTTATTTAAGCCCATTATTCATCCATGTGATTGCTAGAACCGACATTCTGAGTAACAAAATATATGGAAAAATTCATAAAAATAGTTTACTCAAAAGAGGTCTTGAAAATGTACTTAATATTTATTAAATCATTTCATTTTTCATTGGTAATAATATAAACTCTAGATATCAACAAATAAGCTTTAATCTCTGGCATACTTATTTCCAGTTGTTTTAATGTGTACTTGTAAGAATTATATTGTTTTTATAGATCTGTATAGACTGTAATTGTGATATTATTGTAATACTTTGACCTCTAATGTGCTACAATTTAGTTTAACATAAAAATCTATTTTTGAGCATTCTAGAGGTTAGTGTTGTCCTTAAAGAGTTTATAACGTAGCTTGTATGTTAGTTTTAATTAGTTTTGGGTAACAGTCAAATACCCCCTTGTTCATAAAATCTGTCTAATGCACTCTTTAACTGTTATTTATGGTTATGCTGAGAAGAAAAGAGACATATGTACTTGAGTATAAACAGTGTCATTTATATTTTTTTATGAATGAGGGGGTTATTTAATATCTAGTTGCATAATGGGTTTTTTATCTTATAAACTGGATTTAGTATAGATTTTAAATGTGAGTACTGTCCACCTCTCATTGACAAGATAACTGAAAGGACTTTCTTAATGTGAAATTCCATTAATGTATAAAATACACTGAAATTTGATATGTACTGCTATCAGGAATATTAACTACAGACTTTCCTGAATGTGATGGAAACAAGTATTACATTATTTTCTCAAGAAACTGTTTTATTTTACTTCCTTTTATGTATATATTGCTATGTAATAAAAATAGGTAACAGCTATAGCAACATATTTTAAGAGTACTTTAAATAAAACGAAATAGTCACACTATTTACCTATATTATTTATTATTAAAAACTATGCTAAAACTAAATAACAGTTGTGTAACTAAGCTGTTCGTAGCATTTTTGCTTCTCGTTTTTCCTGCAATTGTTTCTTCTGCTCTTCTACTATTGTTTTCCTATCATTTAAAAATTCTCCATATTCCTAAAAGAAATAATTATTTAAGATTCAGTGGCAAAATAAATCAAAATTAATACTAATAAATTTGGGAAGTTAAAATACTTATTCATATTGAAGGCTACTATATAATATATTAACATACTATATAAGCTATTACCTTGGGATCTAATTCTCTTACAACCTCTATTCCACAAGTTCTTGCTTGTGACAACAACATCACACAAATTTCTTTCAATGACCTCCATTCAAGTGGAGGGTCTTGTGATTTAATTTTGGCTATTTCATAAAGGTGTTTTATTGTTATTTTTCCACACATTTCCTTAACTGAAAAAATGTTTTAATGAATAAACAAAACTAGGCCTTTTAAATTTAAACCCTTCTCTTAAGATTTATAATTGTAGCTTAAAGGACAAACACTAATGAATTCTAATTGTATTCACATACAGTTCCATCAGAACAGATATAAAAATAAATTGAAATCATAAATTTTCTTTCAAAAATTCTTACCAGGTTCCATTGCACCACGGCTTGTACCAGCAGCTTGTTTTAAAAAATATGATGAAGGTGGTTGGTGTATAACCAGCTGATAAGATCTATCAGGATTTACTTTTACTCGAACTGGTAATGGAATTCCAGGCTTTATGTTAGCGGTACGTTCATTGAAATCTTTGCAAAAGGCTGCAATGTTGATATTCCGCTAAAACAAATATGCCATATAAAACAAAATTAGTATAATGACATAAAAATATTCTAAATGTACCAACCTGACCTAGCATCGGCCCAAGCGGAGGACCTGCTGCAGCCATTCCAGCAGGAACATTAGTTCGTAATTTGGATGAATGATCTATCTTATCAGCAACTTTTTTCATAGATTTCAAACGTGCTACTGACTTAGACATCTTGGCAGTTATTGAATTTTTAAAACTAATAGATAAAATAGGAAGTATTTGATTTGCCTAATTTTTATTTAATAAAATAACCTCTCATTTTTCAAAACAAATATGTTACACAGAATAAAGTAGTCACTCACAGTAGCGGGTAGCCACTAGCCAGTAGCCACCTCGGCTCAGAGTTATTTGTGTTAATTGTCATAAAATTAACATTCTAATTTTATTACTTTTTTTATATTTTTTGCCTTCCGGTCAGGTTAAAGCTTTTAGATCATCCGTGTATTTATGTGCCATTTATTATATTTGCACATTTTGATAATCATGAAGTATGAGTGCTCAACTTATTTTTATTATCATAAATCACTATATTTTTAATTAATATAAAATTACAAGACTCACAATTAAAAAGACATAAAAAAGTACCTCGGCTGGGATAAATAATATGAATAACATTTACATTTAGTCCCGCCACGTGACTTCCATACATGTTTATGCCTATCGCAAAATATAGTTGGCTGGGTCCCTGTCCCTGTACAGAATCGGTATTGTTATTTGTCAAATATGTCAATTGTCATTCTTATTTGGAAAAAATCTGTTGTCGTAAACTATAAATCGTATATTGTGAAAAAATAAATGTGTATTGTAGTACTGAATCTTATAAAAAAATTTATTTTATAAAGCAATTTAGATTAATTTGTGCTCCTTAGTTAAATTTGTGTTTTCTTTCTTTAATGAAATTACCTCAAATGAAAACTGTTTAATAAATCTTACAATATGTGGTCGTTTTTCTCTCGGGATCCTACAAAAGACTTTCCTTATGAGGTAGGAGATCCTATACCTGGTCTTGAAGACAAAAGTGTTTGGATCCTGCACAAAGGAAAGAAGAGAGGAACACAAGATGAAGTGTCAATATTCTTATTTGATGTTCAAAAACATTCTGAAACTCTGTTTGATATTGCAAAAGCTTCCTTGAAACGTCTAAAGACTATAAGGCATCCAAGCTTGTTACATTATTTAGATAGTTGTGAAACTGAAAAATTTTTATATGTTGCAACAGAGTATGTAAAACCATTAGCTAAGCATATAGACGATATGAAATTGGAGGGACAACAACGTGAATTATTTCTGGCCTGGGGTATATTCCAAATTACTGTAAGTTTTCTTTTTTAAAATTGTATCTCTAAATTCTATACATGTTATCCATTCAATATTTAATAACATGTATAATTTTCAGAGGGCCTTATCATTTTTCAACAATGATGGCAATATGAAACATAACAATGTTTGTTTATATTCAATCTTTGTGACTGCTGCGGAAGAATGGAAACTAGGAGGTTTTGAATTTATAACAAGCCATGGACAGGAAGGTGCTAATATCATCCCAATAAAAATTATACCTTCTCTTGAAATCTATGATCCACCTGAGAAAAAAGACCCAACCAAACTAAAGTCTGTAACAAAGTGGTAAGAAAATATCAAAAAATAATTATATACATAAATAATTATAAAAAATCCAAAAAGTGTTCTATAAATACAAATGCTAAATGTGTTACACACATTTCCTGTTAATTCAAGCTGATTAAAAGAATCAGGTCACTCATTTATTGCCATTTAATATTATTGAAAGAAGTATGTCAACCAAACTTAATATATCAGCATATCAGTCATTATTTTATTTTTCTATTCCTTCTAATGCATTCAACATTAGAGACATCAACAAGACAAGATATAATTAATTTCATGAAATGTCTGAGAATGTTTCATTCAATACTATTTTTTACTTATAGTTCAACAGATATGTGGGGGCTAGGCTGCCTCATTTGGGAAGCATATAATGGACCACTTAAAAATCAACCTTCTCTAAAAACTGTGGACAAAATACCAAAGCAACTGTGCACATTATACTGTGAGTTAGTTAGCGCTAATCCAGCTTCAAGACCAAATCCAGCTGATATTATTACAAGGTTATTATGTTTTATATTTGTACCATCTAAAATAGTATGAAACAACCTGTGTTGAGCGGTGTTAGCCTAATAGCTAAAGCAAATTTTGTCTGTCACTCTGAAATAAAAATGCAAGGATTTTTGTGTCTTTGTAATTAATAGTAGCTTGTAGAGAGATGACAAACATGAGAAAATTGCCATGTCTTTAACTTGTGTTGATGACATAGTAGAAAGCTGATCACATAATTGCTATAGAGGCAGGCTATTCCTATGAAAAATGTGAAAATGATCAAAATACAAATGTAATCTGAGGCCTTCACATATTTACAAGGCCTGGCAGTCACGAGGATTGCCTGTGAGCTTAGGCTGGCTACCCTACCAGTCACACTTCAGATTTAGCATGAACTATGTATGTGTGTTAAAAATGCTGTCTCTATTCTGGATCTTACTGTACTACTGTAGTCGGTACACATGCTTTACTTATTATTTTGTATTGAACACTTTGTTTACTAATAAATAATCATAACGTTATAAGGATTTATTGTAGTTTATAAAAGATGGTAATACTGTTATTTTTTGGAATATTTACTGAGGTTATATATTTTTAGATGTCGTAAATTGGGTGGTTTCTTTAAAAATGACCTTATAGATACAATGTTATTCTTAGAAGAGATACAAATCAAAGACAAGGCTGAAAAGGGGAAGTTTTTCTCAACCTTAAGCAGTCATTTAGACAATTTTCCAGAGGCTGTGTGTATTCATAAGATATTACCTCAGTTGATGACTTCCTTCCATTATGGGGATTCTGGATCAGCCGTTTTGGCACCTATGTTTAAGGTTAGTTCATTTCTTAATTTTAAACTTTAACATTTTTATGCAAATAAACTAATATTTGTATAAAAATGTTACAAGTATCATTATCACCATCTATTATTGTATTTACACTATATTCTTAGACTATACAAATGGAAATGTTTCTGATGACAGAAATAGTGGATTATGAACAATAACTAAATCTAATAAACTGATCTAATAGATTAAAGTTCTATCCATAAACCAATTTGGATAGAACTTTTTTGATAGGTTTTTACATAAACAACCAATATGTTGTAGCAATGACTTCATACATTGAATATACACAACAACACTACTACTACTACTACGACAATACTTGGCGATTAAAAAGAGTGGCGGAAAGTTTCTTGCCAGTTCTTCTTACCCGCTCTACGCCCTTGACTTGCGAACTGGTAGTAAATGTGGTAGTAAATGTAAATTTACAATTAATTTAACTTGACAATTCAAAAGTGTACTTGGTTACCCACTTGAATAAAGATATTTTGAGTTGAGTTTGAGTATACCAGTACAGCAAAAACAATACCAGAGTATTAACATAAGAAAAAGGTTAAGAATTATGTACATATATAATATTAATCATGTTTTTGCAGTTGGGTAAATTACTAGAGGATGCTGAGTATCAGAAGCAAATAGTGCCATGTGTTGTGAAGTTGTTTGCCTCAAATGACAGAACTACCAGGTCTAGGCTACTTCAACAACTTGATCAATTTATTTTGCACCTACAAAATTCTACCGTAAGTATACCTCTCTCAATATTTGTAAGAGTATTTAAGGAAACAATAGATCACATTGAAATGTGATTTTGATTTATTCTGTGTTTGGTCAAATTTAAATCCCTAAATTTATATAGTGTTTTTTTTTATTGCTATCTATAAATTTTTACGTAAGCATATGTCCTACGTTACGTATAAGAATACGTTAATTGGTAAGCGACTACCTTTTTCGGCTACTATCTATCTTTCGAACCCCTAAGTGATAAGGGGTGTTTCCCAGTTTTTTTATGATACAGCATACAAAAATACATACAACTGTTAATTTTCACCTCTCTACGGTCCAGCCCTATTTTTTATTATAGAAAAAATATTTCCTAGAAATAATATTTATAACATAGTTTGCCGGGTCAGCTAGTAAGAGCATAAAATTAAACACTGCATCAAGATTGGTGCATAATTCTAAAAGAATTGCCCATCTGTTTGTTTACAAAACGATTTCGACTCTTTCAGGTGAATGACCAAATCTTCCCACAAGTGATGCATGGATTTTTGGACACAAATGCCGTAATCCGCGAACAGACTGTAAAATCTATAGTACATCTTGCTCCAAAATTGAACTATAATAATTTGAATGTTGAAGTCCTGAGACACTTTGCAAGGCTTCAATCCAAAGACGATCAAGGTGGTATAAGGTTTGTAGATTTTTCATATTACATCTAGAATGCCATTATCTATGAAAAAGAAATGGATTTTCATAGACAAGTATAGCTGATCACCTATATGTCTATGAAATAATGACGATCAAAGAAAATAATGAAATCAAGACCCTATATATACCCTACTAGATGACCCGCCAAACGTCGTTTTGCCATGTATATTATTTCTAAGAAACATTTTTTTAGTTCAATAAAAAAAACTACTATAATACGAAAAAAGGGTTGATCGTGGCGGGGTGAAAATTAAGGGTTGTTTGTATTTTTGTATGCTGTATCATAAAAAATAAATGTTTTGTCTAAGAAATAAAAATTTAGGGGGATGAAAAATAGATGTTGTCCGATTCTCAGACCACTAGAGTATGCATAAAAAATTTCATAAGAATCGGTCGTGCCGTTTCGGAGGAGTATGGGAACGAACATTGTGACACGAGAATTTTATATATTAGATATAAATATTGGGTCTGTAGTGCCAGGCGATTATTTTAATACTACAGACTTATTTACTATTATTCCTCTCACAATGCTATAAATAATTCTGAACGTGTGTCACTGAACTTCTCTTAAACGGCTGGACCGCTTTGAATTATTTTTTTGTGTGTGTTCGTGGGGCCCTGGATGGTTTAGATTCACAAATCAGCCCGGCAGATGGCGCTGCAGTCGGTATTTTCATACTTTGTTTAATATCCTAATCGATTGAAATATCGTGCAGGACAATGTCTGTGGGGTCCGCTAGTTATTATTATTATTTATCTATCAAAACATTATCATGTTAAGAGATATTAAGCCATTCCTTAATACCTGTATTTAGTTATTTGTTTACCTCTGAAGATTTTACTTTCATTAGAATTCAAACAATTTAAACACTGACATAAATATAAAATAAATTAAAATAAAAGTCCCGACACATTTATAAAGGAAAACTAACAGCTCAAACAATTTGACTCAAAACTTGGCGATAAAAAAGAGTGGCAGAGTTGCCAGTTCTTTCGCCCGCTCTACGCCCTTTACTTGCGAACTGGTAGTAAATGTAAATTTAGAATCAATTTAACATCTTTTCTGTTGACGTTCATAAGTGTACGTTACCTATATGAATTAAGTTATTTTTGTTTGAACGTAGACGGCTTTCACTGAAATGAAAAATATAATTTTCAGAACGAACACAACAGTATGCCTAGGGAAAATAGCGGCCCACCTTCACCCGCAAATACGTCAGAAGGTGCTCGTGTCCGCGTTCGTTCGTGCTACGCGCGACTCGTTCCCGCCCGCACGACAAGCGGGCGTACTAGCGTTGGCCGCCACGCAACAGTACTTTTTACTATCCGAAGTCGCTAATCGAGTGTTGCCAGCATTATGTCCACTTACGGCCGATCCGGAGAAACAGGTATAAATAAGATATCGCCAGATATAAATACTAGGAGCTAATAGCTATCTGCGTTAGTTGTTTGTTTTTTGATTTTAAAGGCGGGCAACACACTGGCGAGCCTTCTGACAATGTGAGTTCATGGACGGCGGTATCACTTAACAATGATTAACATCAGATGAGCCTCCTGCCCGTTTGTCGCCTGCATAAAATAAATTTTAATGTTAATTTCTTTCACAATTGGAATCCTACATTATCCCTGATGAATATAGATTATATAAGGACTTTGATCTACGCCGCGGAAACTGAACAAGCAAATTGATGTGCTATGTTTATAGAAGTCTATTAAATATTTAATAAAATAAATATTAAGCCGTGCGAAACCGGGATTGTACGCTTGTAAAAAACAATGTTGAATTTCAGGTCCGAGATGCAGCCTTTAGAACTATCAAAGGCTTTTTGGGTAAACTGGAGAAAGTTTCGGAAGATCCCAGTTTGAAAGAAGGAATGGGTTAGTGTAGTAGATAATATTAATATATAAGAAATTAATTCAAAAGTTCGTAATATGCCTACTTATAGGGTAGTTTTCATCCCTTTGGGGTTCCGAGGGATCTTTGATGTACTCATGTTGTTACTACCCCAGGTGGTTTTAGTGGGTATAGCTCACCCGATTCACTGAGTTCCACATACCCCCATTACATTTAGTGCAGTAGACGCGTAAACGCATTTCAACCTTGATATACAATAAATATCACTCATTTTATACAACTGATGAGCAGTGTTGGCCTAGCGACGCGTGCGACTTTCATACCTGAGGTCGTAGGTTCAATCTCCGGCTGTGCACCAATGGACTTTCTTTCTATGTGCGCATTTAACATTCGCTCGAACGGTGAAGGAAAACATTGTGAGGAAACCGGCTTGCTTTAGACTCAAAAAGTCGACGGCGTGTGTCAGGCACTGGAGGCTCACCTACTTGCCTATAAGATTTAAAAATGGTCATGAAACAGATTCAGAAATCTGAGGCCAAGACCTAAAGAGGTTGTAGCGCCACTGATTTATTTTACCTGTTTCTTTTAACAACTTTTTGTATAACATTTAAAGAAAATTCCAGAAAAATCTTAACCTATTGTTGAACATTATTTCTTTTAAATTTGTCTCTGTTACTTTTATTCCCATATATTCAGTGTTATACCTGTCGGATATAAAATTAAATTTTCCAGAGGCGGACGTAAACACGGCGACACCAAGTCTCAGTAATGCGGCGGCCACGTGGGCCGGGTGGGCGGTGACCGCAGTGACAGCCAAATTCTACCGCTCTCACTCTGATACAGCTAAAGTCCAGCATCCTGTTAAATCTACACTATCTAAGCCGGGTTCGCTAGGTATGTAGCTATTACATATATTTAATATATTCCTTTATAATAAATATATATTATAATGATCAACGTTGTGTAAAACAACAAAAAATGGCGATTAAAAAGAGTGGCGGAGAGTTTATTGCCAGTTCTTCTCTTCCGTTCTGCCCTTGATTTGAGAACTGGCAGTAAATGTAAAATTAGAAGCATTAATATGTATTTCTTTACCGACAAGTCATAAGTGTACATTATGTTACCTACATGATTAAATTATTTTTTACTTTTTTACTTACTAGAATTTATTATAAATACATATATAAAGTATATGTTTTTTGTATATATAAGTGAAACTGTGATGTGTATTCCGTCTTTGGCTTTTGTGTACAACGTAATTGTTTGGATATTTTTTTTTTTTTTTTTTTATAGAACGGGGGCAAACGGGCAGGAGGCTCACCTGATGTTAAGTGATACCGCCGCCCATGGACACTCTCAATGCCAGAGGGCTCGCGAGTGCGTTGCCGGCCTTTTAAAAATTGGTACGCTCTTTTCTTGAAGGACCCTAAGTCGAATTGGTTCGGGAATACTTCAGTGGGCAGCTGGTTCCACATAGTGGTGGTGCGCGGCAAAAACTGCCTTGAGAAACGCTCAGTTGTGGAACGTCGGACGTCGAGGTGATACGGGTGGAATTTCGTATTCTGCCTCGACGTCCGATGATGAAACTCAGCTGCAGGTATTAATCCGAACAACTCCTCTGAACACTCTCCATGGTAAATGCGGTAGAAGATGCAGAGTGACCCCACATCTCTACGCAACGCCAAAGGATCAAGCCGCTCGGAGAGGGATTGGTCGTCAACGATTCGAACCGCTCTGCGTTGTATACGGTCAAGTGGAAGGAGCTGGTACTGGGGAGCCCCCGCCCAGAGGTGAGAGCAGTACTCCATGTGGGGCCGAATTTGCGCTTTATATAGTTGCATGCGGTGGCCCGGAGTGAAGTACCGTCTCGCCTTACTGAGCACACCAAGCTTTTTGGAGGCTAATTTAGCCTTTCCCTCCAAGTGACCGCGAAACTGAACGTCACTCGATATGTCAACGCCAAGTATTCCAATGCTGGCTGTGGCTTTAAGAAGAGTGTTTTCGAAAAGAGGAGTAGCGACAAAGGGTATTTTTTTAGCGGAAAACGCGCAAACTTGTGTCTTCTTGGGGTTAAATTGGACTAGGTTTTGTCTGCCCCAATCTGAGACTCCACGAAGTAGAGTTTCAACTTCAGACACAAGTTTGTTCCGGTACTCATCAACAACTGCCCGAGAAATACCTGCCCGGCCAGTGTAAAAAGTATCCCCAGTACTGTCATCCGCATAGCAATGAATGTTGCTAAGTTTCAACATATCATTGATATGCAGAAGAAATAGGGTCGGGGATAGAACACAGCCTTGTGGGACCCCAGCGTTTACGGGTTTTAGGTCGGAACATGCTCCGTCGATGACGACCTTGATGCTCCGATCGGCCAGAAAGCTGGAGATCCAATTGCGTAATTTCTCGGGAAGCCCATAGGCTGGAAGCTTCGAGAGCAGTGCTCTGTGCCACACCCGATCGAAGGCTTTCGCTATGTCCAAACTAACCGCTAGCGCCTCCCCCTTGGACTCAATTGCCTCTGCCCATCTATGTGTAAGGTATACAAGAAGGTCACCAGCCGAACGACCACGACGAAAGCCGTACTGATAATCGCTAATCAGCTGGTGGCCCTCTAGATACCTCAAGAGCTGGCAATTAACAATGGATTCCATTATTTTGGAGAACAAGGAGGTTATAGCTATTGGGCGATAGTTGGACGGATCAGAGCGATCGCCTTTTTTAGGGATCGGATGTATCAAAGCGGTCTTCCAGCACTTCGGGACAGTGCCGAGCGAGTACAGGTACCGGAAAAGGCGCGTTAAGACCGGAGCCAACTCAGGAGCACAAGTACGCAGCACAATTGGGGGGATACCATCCGGCCCGCTCGACTTATGAATGTCCAAGGAAGATAGTGCTTTGCGGACAGCACGGAATGTGATTTCCGGCATCGAAGAATCACTCCGCGAAATGGTCGGTGGTGTTCTCCCTCGGTCATCCAAAGTCGAGTTAGACGCGAAGAGACAGCCCAAAAGGTCAGCCTTCTCCTTCGCAGTGTGGGCCAGAGAGTCATCCTCCCTGTGCAGTGGCGGAATGGCGGGCTGACAAAAATTCCCTTGGACAGCTTTGGCGAGAGACCAGAAGGCTCGAGTCCCTGATGGGAGTTGGGCCAATCTCTCGCCAAATCTGGCAATGTGCTCTGACTTTGCCTTAGTGATTTCCCGTTTGAAGGACCTGGAGGCTGAGTTATATGCTTTTTTAAGTTCGCTGGTATTGGCATCACGAGATTTCGCCGCTTCCGCCCATGCCTTAAAGCATTCTCGCTTTCGACGCGAGGCCGCCTTGCAAGAACGTTTAAACCAGGGCTGAGACTTGCCACCGATCGGCACCGCAGAAAATGGAATAAAGAGTTCCATGCCCTGCAGAACCACTTCGGCGACAGAGGCGGCGACGGAATCTGGAGCTTCCGGCGAAAAGCACATAGGCCCCCAAGGGTAGGACGCAAAGAAAGACCGCATCCCGTCCCAATCTGCTGACTTATAGTGCCAAATACGGCGACAACCCATAAAGCGGGGCCGTGAAGGGCGCGTAGATGGCACAGTACTCCGGACCACACAATGATCTGATGAACCCAATGGCGGGTCAACAGAGACTTGATAGTTCTCCGGATGAGAAGTCAGCAGAAGGTCCAACAAAGAGGGTTTATGACCATCCACATCTGGTATTCGCGTAATCGCAGGGACCATTTGTGTCAGGTCGTAGGCTAAAGCAAAGTCGTGAAAGGATCTTCCCGCGTGATCGGTGGTTTCAGAGCCGAGCCAATCGGCATGGTGGGCGTTAAAATCGCCAAGTATCACGATTTCAGCGGTAGGAACCCTTTCGAGCAGGGAATCTGTAGCCATTTGGATGTGCTCAATGAGTCGGTCAGTTTCGGTATTTCCGCTATGGGACCTATACAGGCATGCGTAGAATCGCGGATGGTCATCGCAGTCTACGCGCAGCCAGAGGTTAGATAGGTCCCTTCCTTCAAGCGTCCCGAGGCGACGAGAACAGATATCCTCTCTGACGTACACGCAAACTCCAGCCCGCGGCACAAATGAATGTTCCAATTTGTACCCCGGGTAGGATAGGTGGGAAGTATCAGCCGGGGAGGATATCTGAGTCTCGGTAAGAAAGAGCAAGGCCGGCTTCGCAGTCTCTAGATGATAGTGGACAGCGTTGATGTTAGAATTAAGCCCCTAACATTTGTGAAGTCCACGGCGAGTGTGGACGGGGGTGCCTTTGTATAATTGCTCCGTTTGCCCCGAGGACGATTACTATTTTTGTAGAGCGCAGAATTGCCCCCCCAGAATACGAAGGGCAGCCTGTGCGTCCACCACCGGGTGCTGAGTGTCCCGGTGGTGGACGCCCAGAGGGGGATTCTCCACCGCGAGCGCGTGTGGTACCCCCTGGGGTAGATTCTGTTTTTTCTGCACCTTCATATTTCTTGTGTGTGGGGGGATGGGCTCCGGGAATCTCTCTCACCGCACGAAACGCGAGTACAAGAAGGCGAACCTTTTGCATCACTTCACGCCGGTTTTCTGAGAGACAGTGGTACTGCCCCGGTCGTGCCTGCCCATTTGGCTGAAGCCCGAAGGCAACAGCATGGCACTCCCACTAGGAAGGGGTTGACTGATTGCGCTGATGAAATAACCTCTGTCACAGGTTATTTCACCAGTGGGCGATGGGGTCGTCACGTCCCGACGCCTACAATGGATATTGCTTAGTGAGTAGCTGTAGGAATACTGTTGAGCAAATAAATAAATAAATATACGAAAATATTATATAAATTAATCATTCATTTGCAAAGTAATAGGAATACTTTTTAATATCATTTCGGTAAAAAGGTGTTTGCAAAATAAATACTATCAAGCTGTGTAAACTTAATAGCGATAAAATTTGTTTATTTTGTATGAATTTATAAGTAAATTAATTTAATCCTATATTGAAAAGATCCATTTACATTTAGTATGTGCGCTATTCTTTGTCTCAGTTTACAAACCCGTATTCTGAAAAGGTTCAAAGTCCATCCAACCATAGTACCTCTGTCAAAAGTCATTTATTCATATAGGTAAAACGCTGTACACTTATGAACGTCAAAAAAGAAATATACATATTAAATGCTTCTAATTTTATGCTGCCAGTTCTCAAATCAAGGACGTAGAACGGAAGAGAAGAACTGGCAATACTCTCCGCCACTCTTTTTAATCGCCTGTTAAGTTTAACAATTTTTTTTTACAATGATAAAAGTTAATATAATATATTATCTTACATTTGTAACTATGTACACTTGATCATTATTTAAGAAACAAATATACGTTCTATTAATATTTATTAATACATTTATTAGCTAAAGTTCAAAAATAATACGCTTACAATTTTAGATTTTAACAGTAACCAAAAATTACTAGTGAAATAGCGGACTAGGTATCAGATAAATACTTAGCCCACTACCTCAACTGCGCTGAAAAGCTGAAATTCTTAAAAGGCGGCCAACGCACTCGCGAGTTCTCTGGTATTGAGAGTGTCCATAGGCCTATCACTTTACATCAGATGACCCCTGGTCTATAAAATAACATGCGTACAAAGTACACATGTCAGAAGTGAAACTTCTTTGGCAAACTAATTTTTAAGTCTTGTTCATATTTATACAAATCTAAAACTTTCGATTTCCGAGCCTTAGAGGGGGGGAAAAGGAAGATATGTTAGAAATTTAATGAATTTAACTGTCATTAAAATATTAAAAGTGTCGAAAATTATTACAAATTATAAATTTAATTTATTTCTTCGATAATAAAAACACGTGGCATTTTAATTTACAATTGAGATTTCAATGAATTATTTTGCATAAATAGAAAATACTAATATTTCATAAATTCTCTTTACGAAATTTTAATTTTCAAAATAGAATTTCTTTAAGGTAATTCACTCATTCTCTCTTCATCGGTCTCAACCGCTCTCTCCCTTTTCTTCGACAAAAACGCTGCACATATTCGTGACGTTTTCGTAAAAATTTATCCTCATGCTCTTTTAACATAAGACGAATTTATTTCAGAACAACCATCCTCTAGCAGTATGTCTACGACGACGTCATCGGTAACATCGATGACGTCACTGGAGCACAGCGAGTCTGCGTCCGACTATGACCCTGAACACTGGGACATGACGGCCTGGGGCGAGATCGACTCTAGCGCAGGTATATGTTTTAAAGGAATTAAGTACAAATAAATCGTAAATGGAAATTTATAAAATAGAATGTTTTTGGGTCACATTTCGGGTTTTTTAACTAGTGTTTCTTTCTTAACTAAAAATTTTTTTCCTCAAGAGGGACTTTGTCTTTAAGAATTATAGTTTCAATTTAATGTATAAATTTTAAATTTTCTGCAAATAAAGTTAAATTAGAACTAGATATGTTAAGAAATATTCTCTCATTTATGTGGTTTTTCCGGTTTTAGTTCCAAATAAGTCCACGAGCGCTGCTTAAAATTTCCTACAAAATGTTCGGCAACGATTTTGTTGAATTTTATTAAAGTTGAAATTATATTGACCTCTATAGCCACAACGGGTGGTAGTGGCAAGTCAGGCGCCAGCAGTACAGGCGGAGGTGGCCTAGCTGCCCTCTGTGAGGACGAATGGGACAATGAAGAGTGGGGACAGATACAGGAACATCCAGTGAGTATTTATACACATTAAAGCTGTTTGTCTGGTTGTGTTAATCTCACGAAACTATTAGAATTTCCGAATTCACCGAACTTAATTCGGTAAAATTTAGCCGGTTTATTAACTTTACTAAAACGAAATGTTTACTTATTTGTAACTTTAATTTTTTTAGGTTCTTTTTGTAAATTTGATTAAATAAATTAATAATTATATGAATTGAAATTATTATGAATGAAATTAAAGGCAGCTGAAGCAGAATTAGCAAGTCCATCAGAGACGTGGAATAACTCGGAATGGACTCAACCGATGCAAAGTGCGAACGCAACGTTCGTACGCAATACATCGCGACTCGAACATAAGCCGACAGCGCATCAGAACAGCAATGACTCACTTGGCGGTTGGGAAGATGGCGAGTTTGAACCTATTGAAGAAAATGTTGATGGTGAGTTACCTAATAATCTTAAATTTGCTGAATGAAGTTGCAAACATGGATTGCAATTTCAAAGCAACAATTAAAATATATAAGTCGATTGTAACATTCAAGGAGCAGTGTTGGCTTCTGTCTATGTTCACATTTCATACTGTCGATGAAGAAAAACATCGTGTCACAAATCCAAAAATAGATGTCTCCGACAGAAGGCTGATCACCTACTTATCTATGACACAATAATGATCTAAGAAACGGATGCAATCTGTAGTGTTGTAGCGCCACTGGATTATTATTTTTATAAATTAACACACGAATATTGCCGATTAAATTTTACCGATTGTCCATTGGTTTAGTATGAATAACCTTCTACTTAATGCAAAAAGACAAAATGCATTAAATTTTGTGCAAAAAATGCAAGGGTTATGGATACTAGACCAATTATAAACGGTGAGGAATTGAATCTGGATGATACAACTGTATTTCTCGGAATCACCATGGATTCAAAACTTCAGTGGTCCCCTCATATTAACGGATTGGCGAAGAGACTTAGTTCTGCAGCCTACGCGGTTAAAAAAATTCGCTCACTAACTGATGTCGATACAGCTAGACTTGTTTATTTTAGTTACTTTCATAGCTTAATGACTTATGGCTTATTATTATGGGGTCATGCTGCTGATGTCGAAACTATTTTCATCCTGCAGAAGAGGGCTATTCGTGCAATCTATAATTTAAAATGTAGGGAATCTCTTAGAGATAAATTCTAGGAAATTAATATACTTACCTTTCCCTCGCAATATATTTATGAAAATATTATGTATGTATACAAAAATAGTGATAAGTTTACTAGAATAGAACATACGCACAATGTTAATACACGGAACAAACGCAGGCTGCAATTTCCCCGTACTAGACTATCTAAAGTTAGTAATTCTTTTTTTGGGAAAGGGATACTCTTCTTTAATAAAATCCCAGAGGCTCTTTTATCACTGCCTTTCAATAAATTTAAGAAATGTATTAAAGAAAAGCTGTGTAAAAAGGCTTACTATAAAGTCAACGATTATCTAGTTGATAAAAGGGCCTGGGACTAGTGCTAGACAGGCTACTTCTAATCAATTTGCGATATTTGTTTTAAATAAGTGTTGTTTGATGATTTGCTGTTTTAAAAGAGTACCGAGAGTTTTTTACGCCGGCTTTTTATCTCGGCCTACACCCTCTGTCTTCTTTGCCGATGAGTAGGGATGCCTTCAAATTTAATGACGTGGAATAAGTGATACATGTATCTTATGTTCCATAATAAACATATTTTATTTTATTTTATTTTTATTTAATAAAATAAATAATAATAAAAAAAAATCAGTGACGCTACAACCTCTTTAGATCTTGGCCTCAGATTTCTGAATCTGTTTCATGATCATTTTTAAATCTAATAGGCAAGTAGCTGATCAGCCTCCTGTGCCTGACACACGCCGTCGACTTTTTGGGTCTAAGGCAAGTCGGTTTCCTCAAGATGTTCTCATTCACCGTTCGAGCAAATGATAAATGCGCACATAGAAATAAAGTCCATTGATGCACAGCCGGGGATCGAACCTACGACCTCAGGTATGAGAGTCGCACGCTGAAGCCACTAGGCCAACACTGCTCTGAATAAAATAAATATAAATCATAATAAAAATCCAAATGAATAGAGGTTATTAAAATGTTATGTTGAAGTGATTTGTGCGTTATTATGAAAAAATATTGCCATAATAACGCACGGCAGAATATTAAGCTGAATAAAACATATGGAGTAGGCGTATCTGAGATTGCGCCTTTCTATTCAAATAGGCATTGACGAAATATTTTTTTAACGAAACGTTTACGTTAAATATTTTATTAAATAGAGGCTTTGTTGCCTTATTTAGAGGTAAATTTACAAAAGAACAAAATTGTCAAAATGTACTTTATACCCAATTAAAACACATTTAGCTAGCTATATACACTCGGCGTCAAAAAAATCGCACCTTTCCTAAAATTCGTGTCAAGCGATTATAACTTCGAAGTTCCTTCCTGTAACCTATCATTATTAGTATCATTTGAAAGCTAATGAAATCCCTTATTTGAAAACGGTAGAAAATTGGCCACCACCCCCATAAAAAAAGAAAATTCTGGGAAAATGTGAAACAATGTGTATTCTGATCAAAATTACAAAGAAAAGGAACAATACAAAAATTAAAAATAAACAATGACAATCCTTAAAAATTAGTTTTAAAACCTAGTGTTGCCTCCTCTAGCCCTTCGACCAGCTTACAAGCGGTCAGTCACGGACCTGATGAGCGTCACGACGTGTTCCTGGGGAATGTTGACCCACTCCTCGATTACGGTATCTCGAAGCTCATAGAGAGTGGCAGGAGCTGCATTACGGCCCGTTTCAGCTCGTCCCAGATGTGCTCGATAGGATTGAGGTCGGGGCTTCTTGCTGGCCAGTCCATAACCTTGATGCCAACTCGACGTAGGTAGTCCTTGACAATCAAAGCTGTGTGGCACCTTGCGTAGTCGTGCATGAACTCGAAGTTGGCGCTGACAAAACCTGCACATGGGACCACATGCTCCTCCAAAATCTTGGTGATATACCGGTGGGCAGTCAGAGACCCCTGGCCGCGACCATCTCCAGCTCTGGAGACGCACACGAGGTCTGTCTTGCCGTCGATAGAAATGCCGCCCTAGAACATGCAGGATCCTTCTCCATACCCGACGGTTTCCACGGTGCAGGCTGGTGTGAAACGCTCCCCTGGTCGCCTGTAGACTCTCTTACGCATGTTGTTGGTGTACAGGCACACTCGGGTTTCGTCGGAGAACAGGACATTCCTCCACTGGTCGAATGTCCACAGCACGTGCATTTCGTAAAATCGCTTCCTTTTCATCCGGTGGATGGCAGTCAATTGGGGTCTGTAGCAGCTCTCCGGGGCAGCAAATTCTTCTCTCACAGCCTTCTTCTGATAGTGGAGACGCTGTCAGCTGTCCTTCGAGTAGCTCAAAGCCGCTGCTGCAGCTCCACAGCGTTGGAGAAGCAGTTCCGCAAAGACGTCGACACAATGGAGCGATCACCTCTGAAGGTAGTGCAGCGACGTCTCCCGGATCCATGTCTCCTGATGTAACCTCTAGTCTCTGGGAATCGTTGGTATATCCGCTGCACTCGAAATCGGCTGATTTTCAGTTGCCAAGCAACTTCAACCTGCCGTAGTCCGATTTGCAGTAGGGCCACCACTTGAGCTGCTTCTTCTGCCATGGTATCCATTTTCACAGTTTTTTTTTTGTCGAAGCTCTTCAGGTGTGACCTCTGTGACGTCTGGATAGCGAATAACCTATAATTGACTTTTACCCCCTCGTTTTATACGCGTCCAGGCTCGTACAATTAGTAAGCCTCCAAACGCGTACATCGCCACTTTTTAATCAAAGTGCTGGCGATTTGTGGTTTCTTGATTTTCCGTAAACAAATGATAATTTTTTGAAAGCTTATTAATTGTGCTTTTAAATGATATTAATAATGATAGGGTACAGGAAGGATCTTAGAAGTTATAATCGCTTGACACGAATTTTAAGAAAGGTGCGATTTTTTTGACGCCAAGTGTATATACAGTCATAATCTGTTATAACGACATCGAAGGGACTAGTCATATTTGGTCGTAAAAACCGTTAATCTTAACAGCCGACCTTTGATTTTGGTCAATATAACCGGTATGCTAAACGATGTTGTCGTTAACGGTTTTGACCGTATATACGTATTGCACATACGACCATTGTTTGGCAAGATTTTTTCAATACTACTAAATCCGTTTTATCCACTCCAAACGAATATTTTTAGATTCCATTTTTTTTATTATTATAGAAAACAACGCATCAAAAATGGATGAGATGCGTCGCAAACGTGAAGAAAGGAAAGTGCAACGTCAACGGGAAATGGAAGCCCGACGTAACGCAAGAGGACAAGGACCGATGAAACTTGGGACCAAATTGTCTGCGCCTGCGCCGTTCTAGCTGAAGGTCTGACACGTGAACTATGGGTAAAAAGTGGTATTATCAGCAATTCAGGCGACTATGAGATCTGTATATGTAACTCATACAAAATACATCAAATTTGTAATCTTACAGCAAACCAGCTCAAATTATGTGCAAAACTAAGATTCTTCTGATTTAATTTGCAATCGTATTACAGATTTAATAATGATAAAAGATGTCAAACTTATTTTCTATTTTAACTTTGCTAATTTTGACTGTGCTCAAGAATCGAAGACTAAAAATACGGGTCTAAAACTTCTTTCGGGAATTAGTGAATTTAAAACGACAATCTATTGAAATCTATTTATTTCACTGTCAACATTGTTGACTAGTGTTTAATATTTTAACGTAAGGCCATAGACAATCATGTACATCATAGTACTGACAGAATTTTATGTCAAGTGTCTAACTCTATTGCTCTGTGACGCAGGAGTGTCAATAATGACGTAAGGATAATCTTTTGCCGGATTGATTACTTTTTTCTACAACTAACGTTTACGTAATGACAAGAGACTCCTTGTATATGAAATGTATTATTAAATCAAACATAATTATATATGAAGAATATTTAGGCAAATGAGAGGGAGTCTTAGAGTAACATTCAGTGACGAGGCTTAGTCATACTAACCGTATGAACAAATCGAATTCTTATAATATACGCGCCTCATGTCTATTCCGTCTGTCAAACGGGGAATGGTTTTAGGATTTCTATATTCAAAATATGATTATTTTCTACAATCTATGGTCAGTAATCGGATTCATTTGAATATCGATCGATCTTTTTATTTACATAAACTTAATTTACGGAAGTTTGTAGTTTTAACCATAATGAGACTAATTATTGACAAATCGTTTTATCGTATTTTCATCTTAATCTTATCAGTTACATTAGTAATAATCTAATCTTTCCCTTTTATTATCACAAATGTTTTATAGTATTCAATTAACTATTATCTATATCTTAACATTTCTGTATGTATAATTAAATGTGAATATAAGAATTTAGTTATATACCTGGTATACGGAAGAGTTAAGCTTTTTGAAAGTAACCATGTCAGCAGGAATTAATCAAAATTATTCCGTATTTTTTTAATAATCCCTGATAGAAACCAATTAAGGGAATGTTCAAGTGTCTTGTAAAACGTTACGATGCGTTACAGGGGCGTGAGGGGGTGTTTCATCTACACGTACGAAACATTGTTTTAATAATAATTACGCGATTAAAACAATACGTTATTTCAGTTACTTTTCAGTACTTTACAACACATAATTGTGACATTTAGGTAAACATTGACACTTGCTGGTTACGTATCGTTATTATTATTATATGGGGGTGGGGCATACAGAATAACAGTTCATTTCTGTTAAGTTATGTGTGTTAAATAATGTCTAACACACATTATTATTTATCGTTAATATTTGGCTTTGTATTATAAAATAGACACAGACTATCTAGTCAACATTATAGTAATCATATATATAGTAACATTATATAATTCATATATATATATATTTATTTAATAATAAAATATTTAAGATAAATTTATTAATAAACAAAAAATGCAATTCTTCGTAATCTATAAATTATATTTATTTTAAATAATAAACCTATATAATACTTTACCTTGATAACTAGAGCGCCAATTCAACAGTTTTAATGTTAAATTCAGAGTCAAATGCTAGTAGTACTACATTAATCAAGTAATTCTAACGGTCCAATAAACCACGCTTTACGGCAGAATTTTTTGCATGTAAGAAATCAAATTTGGGAGATTCTTTGCTGCCTTTAACGCTAATGTTAAGATTTTTTTGCACGTTGGCCGTTATGTAAAAGCATAAAGAAATAGGTCAAATTATAAAACGTGGACTAAAGATAGGACCTAGTTTGTTTCACATTTTATCTTTATCTATTAATTAATTACTTAAGATGTCATGGGAACATGGTGTAATGGTTGCAGCTCCTTACAAACGTTGTGTAAAAAAAAACATGGCGATTAAAAAGATTGGCGGAGAGTTTATCTTCTTTTCCGTTCTACGCCCTTGATTTGAGAACTGGCATTAAATGTAAAGTTAGAAGCATTTCATATACATTTCTTTTTTTGACGATCATAAATGTACAATGTGTTACCTATATTATTAAATGATGTTTTAATTTGGTAACGAAGGTATCTTTAGTCCACGTAATAAGGAAGATAAGATACACGTGAAGTATTAACACAATATGTAAATGGTTTGAGTTTTAAATGAAGAGATATTATTACTATAATATTGTGAACTACATCTAAATTCCATACAAAAACATGATCGTTATATGAAGTTAGAAAGTACTAGCTTTTTCGTAATATGAATGTTCGATGTCTGATGGTAATTAGGGAACAAGTTGTTAACTAAAGCACCGCGTATGGAGCTCAAGTGAGACTAGACGCCACTATGGCTTATTATATCATATTAGACTTTCCAGTTTTTGAAATCGGGTATAACTAGAAATATTCGCTGCTTCTGTACATAGTAGCAATTTATAATTAATTTTTACTAAACCGATGTATTCTTTGGGTAGGCGTTTAACCGTCCACCGTAATAGAAAAATCTTTTAGAACTATAAGCGCCTGTAGAATGCAGGTTCACGAATATTTTCCCGTTTAATTGCTTATGTATATAGATTTTAATTCTTAAAAAAAACACCAACTAGGAAATAATTACTGAAAACTGATTATTATCCTGCGGAATTGTAGGAAACTGGCTGTAATTTTATCTTTGAATGTTTGTATTATTGGAAATATGCGGCATTAATAAAAAAGCAACGGAGCGTTCATTAAACGATTCGTTACTTTTTATACAATGCAAATGACACTTGGATGGATACTACGCGTTAATTTCCTATCAACATTTAACATATAGTATCCATATGATGTTTCAATGAATGTTTTGTAAAGGTGTACTGTCGGAATGTGTAAAATTTACATTTCTTGTAAATAAAAGTTTTCAATAATTTGTGCATTTTTAATGGGGCGTGAATGAAACGCAAATTAAAAGCGATACGTTTAATATAAGAATGTTAGTATCAAATTAAAACAATATTAATTCCAATATGTAACGGACGGTTTTCTCCTAAAAACAAAAAACTATCCGTTAATGGCAAATAACATTAAGCAAAGCTAAATGGCGAAAACATTTATCAAAACTTAAAACTTATCTGCTGAGACATCCATAATCAATTAAATACCCCATCAAATATAATCTTCACATTGTGAAAAAGATATTTGATGGATAAAAAAATTGACCCTGCGACTGTAAACACAAAAACAACTGCAGAAATCACAACAAACACATTTTTTAAAATATTTATTATCAACTATACTAAAAGCTGAGGAATCTGGTACAATATTTGCCTATTTTGTCAATATAAAACTTATAACTGGAAGGAAGGGTTTTGGTTCAAAAAAAAAATGCTTAATATCACGTCGGTTTATCGTACGTAGAATCGTTTAATAAAAATTCACTGGTCGTTATCGTTTTGTCAATGAATTTTATTTTTAACTGATTTCTAATAAACCCGAAAAACTACAATTCGGCACTTTTTTTAAAATACATTTTTAAAAAGTATAAACGTAAGAAAACTTGGCTATTAACAAATATTTATAAATACGAAAGCTACCTATTTTATGTGGTAACATAATTTGGACATTGTTCAGATTGTACCATTTGCGACTATATTCACACCGTTTAATTTGACGTCTACCTTGTAGTGTTGTTGCGAAGTCCGTTGCTAGCTGTCATTGTACACTTACAGTTTCGAGCGCAAGTCGGATGACCCAGCGGCTAATTGTCAAGATGGCTCTTCAAACCTGAAAAAAACATTTAAAATAATCAAAGTCTAAAAAAATTACCCTATATAATTGTGATACTTACAACTAACATTTTAATTCTGGAAGTAGTTTCGACTCTATATTTTATTTTTATTAAATTAAAAGACTCAATATTACAAAATCTAAAAATATGTTATCCTGACTGAGAAGTGTTATACAACTCATTATTATTAATTTTTTTATTTGTAATGTTCTATGATGTCTCAATCGGAGACAATGATTTAAAAATTAAATATAAAGTTATATGTTGACATAGTTACACTAACTGAAACAAATTGTGTTTGTATTGTTATAAAATAAACTTGGCTCCAACTTCAACACATGAAGTGGAATAACTTAAGTTGTTACCAAATAAAAACACTATAATATCATAATATCATTGCACCTATGCGGCTAAATATAAACATATGATTGCATACAGGAACATTCTTTTTCAATAATAAAAGGGCGGCTGATGGTGAAGAATTTAGAATGCTGGTTGTATTTAAAGGAATGTTAGTAAAAAACTCTTTAAATGCAGAGGCTACTTCGAGGTCGGAACTAATTACTTTGCCGTTTATGTTCACTTTATATTCAGTATATTAGGAGCCTTCTTTGAACATATATTCTTTTTAACTTTCTCTTTTTTTACAGATTAATTATAATTAAATAGAAATTTCTAGATAGGTATTACAGACACTGTGACCTAGTTAACTACTGGTCTTAAAAATAACATTTTATTTCTAGCTAAAATAAAATACTAGAAAAAACCTACAGCAAAGTTATAATTATAAATATTATTCATAGATTTTTATTGAAGACATGTTTTTTTTCAGCCCACATTTAAGAAATAATATCTAAATAACCTCTTGCCTCTATGTAACCACGAGCATATGAAACGACATGAATGGCTTATTTAATGTATCAAGTAAACAGTAAAATGTGTAATTTTGAAAACTTACCGCATATTCATAGCATTAGAATTGCCAGCCTCAAGTTTATAACCAAGGCTTTCATAAAACTTAATTAACTTGTCCTTGCAATCTAACGACATTTTGTAACAGCCTAACTCATGGGCTAATAACGATACTGTCACAACAATACTGAAATAAAAATAATACATTTTTTACTGACTTATGTGTCCTCACTTATGTGTGATTTGTAACTAGATGATAAATAAGATAACTTTGGCATGAACATGCCTAAAATGTTGTTGATGTAGTAATCACGTAAAATATATTATGTAAAATTAAAATATACAAGAGTATTTCAATTAAAATATTCTTACAGTTTTCCGAGTTGTTTTCCTCTGTAGGTATCATTCACTACAACATCTTCTAAACGGCCTCTCTGGAAAATACACATTATACTCAAGTTAAAGATTTTCTAATTAAGCAGACAGATTAAGAGTTGCAAATTTGGCAGAAGATTTCTAATTTTTTATATCATAGAGTTCATAACTCAGAAGAAAACCAAAGCAGTTTTGACATAAAAATATATTACCTAAAAATTATTTATTGTAATAATAACTTGCCTATGAAACAGTTTAACTATCGCAACTGAACAATTAGTTATTTTTAATTTAAAGTAAGTAAAAATAATACATATTCATCAATCTGACTACATCATGATGTGACTAGTTTATGTTGGCCACACACGGCCACAAAAGTAACTATCATGCAATATTCTTAATTTAAAAGTTATCTGTAAGTTAAAAAGTATTGCATTTACATGAAAATTTGCATACCAAGGAACAGTTATGTATGAACTTTTGTTCCACAGTGAGTGTGGCTGCACCAATGATCTTTGCCAGTCTCTTGTCTTCTATGACTGTGACATAGTACCCACCAGACATTTTCATTTGAGTGAATCTCTCTGTAGAAAGGAATGTTTGGGTAAATGTAAAGAAAATATCAAGTATGTATGGTGTTCATATAAAATATAGATCAAGGTATGTACAACAGAGTTGATTCATACAATATTTCATTTAAAGAAGATTTGCTCAATGAAACTCCTTTAAATCTTAGAACCTTTGCATTTATTGTCAACTACTATATGAGAAATGTAAAACTAATTTTCATTATAAATTACACATAGATTCAAGTAGTAGGAATCAATTTTGACAGGAGGGTGATGGCCCATTTTCAAATCATATGGGCAAATACTCTTAACCATTAAGTCCATTAACAACTGCTTACAAAAAAAATATAAATGTAACATTTGTAATTTCTCTGCCATCCTACAAGAAAGGAATTGGCCGGCAATGCACTTGCAAGTTGCATTCTATATGAGTGTCCACGAGCTGCAATCAATTATCAATAATGGTATCAATTAACATCAGGTTAAACTTCTGACCAAAAAAAAATTTCTATTATTTAATTATTATTCAATACTAAATGTCAACAAGATTCAAATGCCAACAGACTATTAGGTGTGGCAAGGTCATCTTGAGCATGAATTTAACCTGCTTTTGAAATTTAATTATAAAACTGGTACACTCATGACCTTATTGTTATCTATACTATCTATATTTTTCATGTAAATTTTAATTCAACAATAATTTACTCATCACATTATTGTAGCCAATAAAACATCATTCACATACCATCAAATTGTTTTTTTGAAATATTCCCAGTGCTTGTTAATTGGCTTAGTAATTGTAGAAACCCTTTATCATAATCAGACCTCTGGAGAGGTCTGACAACCATCCAATCTTCTCCTGGGCTTGCTGCACTTATTTTTGGTTTAAAAGTAGCAGGACTCTTAGTAAAATCTAATTTCTGTAATATTTCTGGAGGGTAGAGGTACTCAGAGAGTTCCTCGTCCTAGAATAAAAATTGCAATAGTATTAGAAAAAACTCAACTGTAAATAAAATCTTAATAATGAAAAAAAATACATACCCTGTAGTGTTTCTCCATACCCATATTTTTAGCACAATGATGTGTTATCTTTTGGATTATTACTTTATTTCCACATTATCTTTAAGACTCGCCTAATACTAATTTGATATTACGCTCCGTAAAACGTAAAGTACTTGTACGTGGCAAAAACACCTATCAAAAGAAAAAGTGAGAGGAATAAGTAAATCAAAAGTAATAATCATTTGTACCTACCTACTACTCCCACCAATATATTTTATAGCGTCTTTGTTGGCACAACAACTTTGAAATATTATTCTATTGGTTCTTATAATACGAAAAGTGAAAGTAAATAATTTATAAAAATACTACGTCAATCGCTGAACTTGAATAATTTAATTTTAAAAACAAACAAAGTCTTCGTCTTTTATTTAAAACTGAAACAGACGGAAGTAATGTACAAGAAATTACATACTTTAAACCAATATTTATAAAATAAACGTATTTAAATTTAAATAATAACTACTAGAAAGACTATCTTAACTTTAAGCTACAAATACCGCTGACCGCTGTGGAATGTGGAAGACGGAAGTGTTGAGTGTGGACTGTGGACTAGTTGTCACAGAGTAGAACTGAGTTTATACTTCTAAAAATTTTTAGACCTTTAGGCCATATATTACTGTTACTTACTAGCCGACCATAGTTTGTCTTTAAAATAGTCTTCTTTCTAGTCTGTAACAGACATATCACAAGGGAAGTCTGTGGCAGGCTTTCAGGCTTCAGCAAATTGTCAGTTTATAAAAAAATATTGTCTCTGTATAATGTAAATATAAATAAAGTTAAATATAAATATCTACATTTTGATTAATAACGTATTTTTAATCATAATAAGAAAACATATAATAATGATAGCTTTTCACAATTGTAATAAGTTTAAGGTTATGTTCGATTATCGGCAATTCTCTGTTTTAAGAAAAACTAATGGTAGTCGGCCACTGCTACAAACACATAAACATATCATTAAAATTCCTGAGCGATTTGAATTTTGGGAAAGAGATAGAAAAGGCGGCTATAATACGAAAATAAAGACGGCGCCTTTAGACAATATTAAGAATGGATTCAGAGAACTTAAATATGAGCTCAAGTTATTTGCCAATGAAGTTAAAGATTACTTCACAACTGATCCTCTATTACTAGCAAGACCTGGTAAGATCAATTTACAGTTTACTTAGCTTTGGGGTTTTTTAAATAACAAAATATAATATTTTGATTTTGTTTTGTTAACCTGTCAGCCACAGTCTGATAATTCTTAAAATAATTCTTCAATTTGCATTTAGATTCATAATAGTTAAGAACAGCAGTGAGTAAACCATCTTCACATACCATGAGCCATCTGGTATTGTAATAAAAAAAATTGATTTTATATTTCCGAATATGTCATTAGATACTTTTATAACAAGTTTTGACTGTATTTTGTCCCCCTTGTTGAAGTTCACATTTAAGATTAAGAATAATTATTTGTGTCTTTATGAAACATGTTTTAATATAACACAAAAGTAATGCTTAGTTTAATAATATATGGGTTCCAAATTTCTGAGATACATAACTTGTTCCTTGATTAAAGAACTATTATTACAATTATATCATCTTCTCAGTCTGTTCTGTCTTATTTCTTTCATTAATATGTTAGATTGCCTGTCCAGTCTTCTTTATTATAACTATTATATTATGTTCAAATTTAATAAATAAACTTATTAAGACAGTCTTATATAGAATTGAATGTAGAATCCCTGGAAGAAACCTCATCTTAATATTTAAAAAAAACAATTTTATAGGAATATCTTTAATATATTTATTGGGAGTTCTTGTTTTTGATAATATCAAAAGTTATGTGTATAACTGTATAGTGTAAACTGTATTTTGTTGTATTTTTCTTAATTTCATGGCCTGGTAACGAGACCTTTAAGCCATGTTTTTTTTTATTTTTTATTTATGGCTCTGGCACGATTTGTGCATTAGCCAGCGTCAAGTATAGGATTTTTTATAATTCGTGCTTGTCTTTTAGAAATTCGACCGTGTCCTCTATGTACGGTTTAAGCACTCTCCCGGTACCGCACAACCCTCACAAAGGCCGAGAACAAATTTAAATTAAATTAAAACTTGCCCGCGAACCGGGAATAGAACCCGGTACCCCTCACCTAGCTGCCACTTAACAAGACCGCTAGGCTATGAGGCCCCTAAGCCATGTTTTGTAGTAACATTTGAGGCATAGACAAGAAAAAAGTCTAAATCGTACTTCCGGTATTGTATAGTATTGGCTGTCAATGTCAATTTTTGGTTTTGACAACAAATAATTTCGTTATTCAAAAATCAAAACTATGTCCGTTAATTGTATTGGTTGTGAAATGTGAATTAATTTTGTGACTGTTTGTGGAGAGAATTCTTTTATTTTGATATAGACTGTAAAGTTTGCGTTACCAACCATCAAGTGAATATCCGAATGTTTTCTAACTCTAAACCTTACGAATCGCCTTCACTTCGTACTAATAACAGTGCTTTTGGAATAATTTTTCAAAAAGTACAAAGGTTGTTTAAACACCCAGTTCCTGAGAACGAGTTGAATTTAAACATGTCATCGTCAAGGACAAGTACGGTAGCTTCCGATGATAGTTTTATTACTCCTGTGTCATCCATGGGAGATCTTATGACTCTATCACCTAAGAAATCGGATGACCTTTTAATGAACGAAGTCGATATTACTAATGATTATCTGACTGGTACAGACTTTGACAGTATATGTGATGTGACGATGCGAGAAGTTCATAACTATGAATCAAATATTGATGAAACTAGTTTGGATTTTCTAGCCAAATGTAGTGAAACCGGTCGCAAACAAAATTTCATTGATAGAGGTAAAGAAAGCCTTTTTGTCAAGTTTGATCCTCTGTATGCTCAGAAGATGGTTGAACCATCTGAAGGTGAAATTCAAGCCGATTCATTAGAGTGTGACATTGGATATGAAACAGGCAGTACTACATCTATTTTGACTGATACAATTATGGAAACTTTAGATAATTCAACTTCAGTAAGCAACCTGCAAAACAAAGGATTTATGAATAAAGACAAACCTATGCAAATGGTAACACCAGTTATAAGCGCTGAATTGTCACGACCAACTCCTTCTCAAACAAAATCAACACCAGCTCTTGTTAGAAGTGTATCTGCTATTTTACCTAGTCCAGTTGTAACTGAAAAATTAATTAATTTCTCTGGTAATACTCCACCAGTTGCTGCCCCTCGTAGTCCAAGAAGTAGAAAAACAACACATTATGGAGAACATGAAAATGGAAGACTACAGTCTTTAAGAGCAATTTTGCAAAATCAAGATCATGAAGTTTTACAACTGAGACAGGATAATAGAGAACTTAGATCAATGTTACAAGACATGGAACATAACTTTACACGTTACAAAGAAGAAATGGAAGTCAGAGTAAAAAAATTAACAGAAGAAAAGAAACACTTTATGGACAAAGAAGATCAATTATCCCAGCAATTACAAGATAAACAATTAAGAAACAGACAAATGTGTGTAGTAATGGAGGAATATGAAAAAACTATATCTGATTTAATTGGACACCAACAACAAGAAAAAGTGCAATTGCTTGAAACTTTACAGAAAATTACACTGGAGAGGGATGAATCTGTGAAGCACTTAGCAAGCATGGAGAGTTCCTTCAATGATCTTTTAACAAAATATGAAAAATGTAAGAGTGTTATTATGGAATATAAGAATAGGGAAGAAATTTTCAATAAAAAAATTGATGAATATGATGAAGGCATAAAAAAGTATGAAGAATTATATAACACCCTCAAACAAGCCACAACAGACAGCTTACAGAATGCTAATGAGATGTTAGAAAACATAAAGAAAAGTCATAATGTTGAAATCACTAAGATGAATGCTACTATAAAAAAGCAAGAAATTATGATTTCATCCTTACAAGAGTCTCTTGCACAAAAGACTAGAGACAACGAAGGATTAACTAGAATATGTGATCAGCTTATCAATCAAGTCCGTTAGACAAAACTTACAAATTGATTGATTTAATACTTGACATTCCTTTTTTTTAATTTGGCTATCAACACCACTATTATTATTTGTCGTATTAATACTATGTTGTTTCTAATTGATATGTGTTGATTTATGCAGATCACATTATTTAAATTTTTATAATTAGGTTTATGTTAAATTATACTCTGTGGCAGCTGTGATTATGTTTGCTATGTTTACTTTCTCTGTAACTGTATCTATGGTGCTTTGTAATAATTTGATTGTTCTTTTTAGACTACATTTAAAAATATGGAATGATGGAATCTCTTATTTGAATGACAAGTATTGTTATGTTGTATTATTAGTTTGTATGTGATTACCATGAATCTGAAATTTTTAAAAATAAAATTACTTCAACAAGTATGTTTTATTAATCTTTCTCCTATTCTGAATGTTATATTACATCTTAAATATCAATTAATAATAATATCCCAGTTCTATAAATTACAAATATAGCCAATACATACAAACTATTTTATACTTTTAAAAAGCATAGCATGTGCCAAGTAGACAATTTTTTTAAATAAAACAGTTATTATTTATTTTTAGGTGAAACTGATCTTTTATGGTGCTTTAATAGTCCAGATGTATTGGATAAGTTTGTAACGACGAGTGATAGTGACCATAATGAAGGATTCAGTAATTGTAAATTAGACATGAGTCCAGCAGGTCGAGCTCAATTCCATGGTTACCTGGATACCAGAATTCCGAAAGACGGTCGTATAAAGAAATCTGGTTATTGTTCCATGCGGTCTAAAAGGATAAGAGTGAGTATGAATTTTATTTAAAATAGCAACGTCAATTAATATGCTTCATATCTTTGACGGGAAAAGGTTCACAATCGTATTTTAAAGGTTTTGTATATAGTTGCACTTATTTTATCAAACCTAGTACAACATAACCCTGGAACACGTGATTTATCCTTATAAATGTAGTACAGTTCAATTTTCCCCTTGGTAATTGAACCGTACTACATATATGTATTAATCAACAAGTTGTTACCTCCATATTACAAAATTTCATGAAAATCTGCCAAGTACATTAAGTGATTAGTGCTTATTAACAGAGAAACAATGTTAAATGTGGTCCATTACGAGACCTGTATCGTATATTAAATTGGAAATCCGCCAAATATTGTTCAGCAAAATAAAGGGTTATATGCCAAATCATGAAAAATTTGTCTAAAAAATAAATTATTGGGGTGGGCTAACTTAGTTTAAGTGTAGTGTAGTAAGTGATGCTTATGGCTCTAAAAAATAGTTTACGACCCATTCTTGACCTACCGAATATTCACAATTTTTTTTATTAAAATTGGTCAAGCCGTTTCGGAGGGCTTAGGTTACAACCGTGTGCGAAAAACAACTCGACCAATGTAACAACAACTGGACCTATTTAAAAAAAAATCACAAGTAGAATGCTAGTAACAGAATAACATCCCATATGTTATCCTCGGAGCATACGGCAGTTCGTAGCTGGAGTTTGTTGGGTTGGGTTGCACTGATACTAAATAATGCAAAATATTTTACAGAAATCTTTCAAACGAGATTCGACATACGATTGGAATATTTACAACACGCTAGTAATTAAAGTAAGAGGAGATGGCAGATCGTATTTATTAAATATTTCATGTGAAGGATATTATGATTTAACATGGAACGACATCTACCATTATGTGCTATACACAAGAGGTGGACCTTATTGGCAAATAGCTAAGGTATTAATATTATCTATGGTTTAGGCTAGTGTATATATAGAACCTCTTTAATCAATATAAGTCTCGTCATATATGTAACGCACACTATAATTATCACTAAGCAAAAGAAATTCAGTGGCGTTACAACCTTTTTGATCTGCGCTTCAGATTTATGTATCTGTTTCGTAATCATTGTTTTTTTCTAATAGTCCTGTGTCTGTGTGTGATCAGCCTTCTGTGCATGACACACGCCGTCGACTTTTTGGATCTAAGAAATACCGGTTTTCTTACGATCTTTTTTTTTTCAAAATACGAACGTTTGGTAAATGCGCATATAGAATGTCCATTGGTGCACAGTCGGGATTAAACTACAATTTCAGTAATACGAGTCGCAAACTACTAGGCCAACACTGCAAAGTTATTATCTTTACGCCGAAAAAATACCACAGGGTAAACTTCCGAGGCTATAGAATAACAATGACAAATCATCAAATGTCAAAAAGCATTACATGATTTGACATTGTTAACCTAAACACGTATAACACAATCAAGCAATAAGGGGACTTAGCGAAGACGCCTTAATAGTAGTGTATGTAGAAAGTCTAGTCATTTCATTTATCATATTTCATACAAATTTAGTTTTTTTTACTGTTAAGAATCTTGACTAAGCTCCCAAGTATGTTTTATTATTTTCTAATTTCAGATACCATTTTCTAAATTTGTCCTTGGAGCCAAAGGACGTCTACAGGACAAGCAAACAAGGATGCGATTGGATAGAATCACTCATTTCGGGATCGCATGTGGCGATAGATACGATGGTGTTTTCAATTTAGAAGTAGAGTATATAGGTTTGTTCACACATTATAAATTCCTGTAAACTCCCAATTGGCCGTGGGTTTTAATTATTTAAATCTTTTGTGGCTGACAAACATATTTAATATGTTTCCTTCACTCGGGGTCGGATTTAGGGGATGGCAACCGGGACTACAGCTGGGACTTTACAAGAGAGCCCTGCCATAAAGACCGAAAAAAAGAGTGTGGCACTTGGGGACTGCCGCGGTAAAGCTATTGCACAGCATTTTTATCAACTTATGCAATTATTTATTTATTTTATATTTTTATTTACAGAATTTTTTTTCTTTGATATTAATTCAATCTACCACTCTACCAGACTCAGACTAACACGCCTATATAGTCTGTCTTACTCTAACGCGTACAGGCTGCACTGGCCGCGCTTAAGCTTAAGCTACATCACCAATAAAGGGGCACCGCAGGCGCCCCTTTATTTTCTCTCGCTCATTGAGCGAGGCCTACTTACTCGTAAATTCCCAAAATTTAGCGAAAAAATCGTTATGTTGGCAACACTAGAATGGAACGCAGTCTTTAAATCGGAGCACTGCACTGCATGCATTTTATTTCACCGGGAATTCCGGACCATCGAGAAAAACATTATCTATCTCTTTTTTTCGTTTAAATAAGAGAGAGTTGATGTTATTTTTGACGAAGCGGAACACACTCAGCTCATTCTCATTCATTAAGTCGGTGCACGCACTTAAAACAGTTATTCCAATTATTTTAAAACAAAGAGACGCAGTAATCAGACGGTTCAGCAAATTCAAATTCAAAAATCATTTAATCATATAGGTAACACATTGTACACTTATGACTTGTCAGTAAAGAAATACATATTAATGCTTCTAATTTTACATTTAGTGCCAGTTCTCAAATCAAGGACGTAGAACGGAAGAGAAAACTGGCAATAAACTCTCCGCCACTCTTTTTAATCGCCATGTTTTTTTTTTTTACACAACGTTTGTAAGGAGCAGTTAGGGGGCGCCGTATAAATCTCGGCCATGGCGCTGGTAGTGCTAACCGGCACTGAGCTTAAAAATCAAATCAAATTTCGGCGAGAAAACACTATTGATTGCTCAAGTATTTCCGAACCAATTCGACTTAGAAAAGAAAAGAGTACCATTTCTTAGAAGGCCGGCAATGCGCTTGGGAGGCTCCTGGCAATGTGAGTTTCATGGGCGTCGGTATCACTTAACATCAGGTTAGCCTCCTGCCCATTTGCCCCCTGATACCTAAAAAATCATTTGATATTTTAGTAATCTACTTGGTTTCGCAATAAATTATTTATTACATAGCTGGGTTGAGCTATGAGTTGAAAGTAGCATGCTTAAACACCAATCTAAATGATTTTATTTTTTGACTAATATTTATTAATTTTAGGTTTAGAATACGACCCTACACATGACGAGGAATTCGCATATGAAATGTATAAAACCGAGAAGTTTATTGTTGGTGTGTGAGATTATCCTTGTATAAATTGTATATAGATTATTAAATAAAATATAACTAAGAAAAAAAATCCCTTTTTTTTATTCCACTTAAGTACCGACCTCAACAAGTAAATCTAAATTATTATTTCTATATTAGGCAGAATAATATTTGAGAGAATCCTTGCACTTTGTGTTACGTATAATGTCAGAATTAAGCAATAACTATTGATAAATAATAGTTCTGTTTTCTTATTTTATATATGTACCTACATCTGTGCGCTCTAATTTTTAATCTTAGTTTTAAATATGTGTTTCTCAGTAAGTGAATTTTCAATTCTTATGAGAAATAAAGTTATTCTTAAACCAAAAAAAAAAAAAAAAAAAATAATAGTGACATTCAGAACCGAATTTAACCGAACTTAGCGCCAAGTGTATTATTAACCCCCATATATTAATAACGAAACTTTGAGATACGTTATTTACATTAGCTATCGCAGTGGAGAATCCAACTCAGGGCATCCACCTCCGAGTCACAATAAATCCCAAGGATCACCAGGCTGACCTTCGTATTCTGATTGGCAATTTTGCGCTTACTACTGTTTCTAATAATCATCGACATCGGCGCAAACGAAGCAGGCGTCACCAGGCAACAACGTCAGAGGCAGCCGTCCTCCCTATCTATGTACTTCTACAATATTAGAGGGTTGCTATCAAACATGAACGTTGTTCACCACCAGCCACTAGAGACAGCGAAGCCGGCCGACGACACCATTCCTCTCTTACCCTGGTTATAAACTAGAAATTTTGTACCACGGGCTGGAGTATGTGTATCTAATCTCTGGCTACGCGTAGACTGGCTATGTGATGACCGTCCATGATCCTTCGCTTATAGGTCCCATAACGGCAAGATCCAAATCGGCCTACTCATAGAGTGCATTCAATTGGCTACAGAATCCTTACTCGAGAAAGTTCCTTCCGCTGAGATCGTGTTACTTGGACCTTTCAACGCCCATCGTGCTTTGCGCAGCAACCACCGAATGTACGGGAATATTTCATGGCTTTACATTGCCCAATGACCTGACACAAATGGTGGTCACACAAACGGATATTTCCCTTCCCTGTTGGAGTTGTTGTTGATCTCGCATCCTCATCAAACTTCTTTTAGGATCATCGGATCACTGTCTAGTAATAAATGCCATGCTCGATAGCCGTGGTGTCTAGCGCTATAGGTCTGCAGGCTGGGAAAATCTTTAAAAAAAAATGATATTCGATTTAAAAAGAAAATGAGTTTTCAATTAAAAAGATTTAAATATGACAGGAACAGTGGTATTATTCCATTCCCGATACTTTTAGTGCAGCCTATGTAAGTCTTCACACGGTGAGTATAGATTTGGGACTCAGCATACAAAACCGCTTCCAGGATTGCAAAAGCTTCACCTGAAAAAACGGAGGTCAATGGAGGAAGTTTATAGCTCAATACTGTTGTGTATGAAGGGACCCATTCAGCCGCACCGATACACTCATAACTGGGAATCTTGGAAGCATCAGCATACATCGGTAACCAACCCTGCCAGTCTTTTGAAGTTTTTTCCAGAAAACAAATGGAAGCTTGGGTGGATTTTTTTTCAATTCCAAAGTTTAAAATTATTTTAGGATCAAAAATGAGGGATTCATAACTATTTAAAAACAAGGGATTACTAAGGAAACTTTCAACAGGATTAGGAAGACGAGAAAGCTTATTAAAACTGTGTAATAGGCATGGAACATTACCTGTACTAGATGGCATCGTAAGAGAAGATAAGCGACGTAATAATTTGGACAAGATGGTATGTGAAGAGTATTGGAGGACTTTGAATGAATGAAGAAGCGGTCACTTTAAAATTGTCTACGTAAATACAGGGGGGTCAACACATTCTATTTGGAGAGCATTAATGGGAGAGGATTTCATAGCACCAAGGATGATGCGTAAAGATTTCGATTGAATTTTGGAAATTTTATCAAGGGCTTGCTCGTTGCCAGGATCTAAAAGGAAGGTACTATAATCAAAATGACTTCGTACAACAGCATTGTATAAAAGCTTTTGCGAGTAGGGGTGTGCTCCCCACCTCACGCCAGATAACAAAATTGCTTTCTCATGGGGAATTTACGGTTTACCGAATACCGACTACGTCTTTAGTTCATAATCTATCACTGTCAGATTGACTTGCATTTCTAACTTCCTGTCATCTGTGGTTTAAATTCAATCAAATCTGAAAGGTTGTAAATGCCAATTGCCAGGTCATAAAATCCCAAAAAAAAAAAATACTGAAATGAATCAACTATTTCGGGAATCGTAATTTATAAATATAAAACCTTTGTAAAGCTTACTGAATAAATTTAAAGGATTTTTGAATATTTACCTATGTAATTTGTTGGAAATAAATGTTCGTGATATTCCTTTGGTGTGTTACTGTTAAATTTAGATAACGCTTTTATTTAGCCATTTACGGGTTTAACCTTGTGTGTAGGATGTGTATAAATTTTATATGCTAGAGGCGTTACTAATTTACCAGATATGAAAAATAATTTTCATTGGATTCGGGTTAGTAATTTTTAATTGAATTAACTAAACAATTTTTAATATAGGCAAAGTGCTATTAAGTGACAAATGACTCGAGTATTATTGTCCTTGAAATTAATTATTGCGTTATTTTCAGAAGACGATGTCATCACAAGCAGTCCTAAACCTATAGGATTTTAAAACAGATTGGAAAGCTATTTAGTACCATGTCAGGTACAGAGCAAAATATATTGACCTCAATGCAACATTTGTCAATTCAATCTAGTAACAGTGGTCCATCTGAGAAACCAACTCAAGTGGTCACCCCTGCTGTTAATAGAAACCAGGTGTCATCAAAGATTACCCAAGTTAAAGGTACAGTTTCTCCTGCAATTGCTACTATTGATCGATTACTAAGTTTAGGTACACCAGCGCCACCTCCTCCACCTGTCATACATAGATCTTCAGATATGGACCCACATACTGTTGAACAGTTGCGAGCTGTTAAAGAGATGCTTACAGCTCAGGAAGAAGAAGCTCACAATCTAAGAGAAATTAATCGTGAACTCGGAGACCGATTAGAGGAATGTGAAACAAAGATTAAAAAATTAGCAGAACAAAATGAGGAATATGCAGAGAAAGAAAAGGCATTGTCACAGCGAGTCTCAGAAAAAGTAAGAAATAATAAACAAATGAGTGTTGTAATGGAAGAATATGAAAGAACAATCTCATCACTCATTGGTGAAAGAGAATCTGAGGCTAAAAGATGGGCAGAAGAGAGAGTTACATTGCTGAGGGAACGTGATGAAGCTGCTGCACACTTAGCATCTATGGAACATGCATTTAATGATGTTCATACCAAATATGAGAGATGTAAGGTTATTATTCAAGGTTATAAAGGTAATGAAGAAACATTAAAAAGAACTGTTGAGGATAATACTGATGCAATACAAAAAATGGAGGCTAGATATGAAACACTGCGCCAACATGCAATGCAGCAATTAAACAAGGCAAATGCAGAGCTGGATTCTATGAAGAAATCTCATCAGGCAGAAATCCTTAAATTAAATGCAATGTTGAAGAAAAGTGAAGTACATGCATCTTCTTTGCAAGAATCATTGGCTCAGAAAATTAAAGATAATGAGGAACTAACAGCTATCTGCGATGAGCTCATTAACAAGGTTGGGTAAGTTAATTATACTTATGTATCTTAAGTGCAACAAATTGTTAAATTTGTGTCTTAAGTTCAGAAACTCATAAATGCTATCATTTACTAACCAGTATAAATAATATTTATTTCACATTAGAATACCTTATATGAAAATAGCCTCTATTATAATGTAAACATAGAGACTAAGTTCTAAATAAATTGTAATCAGTATACCTTACACATCTTTGAACTTATTGTGTTACCATTTTAATTAAAAATATTGTGTTTAATTTTAAAAGATATTTGTGCAATTTCTATGACAGTTTTTCATTAATTAGCTTAGGGTTTTAACATTTTGTGACTTATATATTTGTTAATTTACTTTATTGTTAGTATTTGTTTTTGTAATTGGTGCTTCTGTCTTTTAAGAAGCCTAATATAATATATTATGAGTAATCATTTTACAGAATTCCTTAAAGATGGAATAATAGGTGTAGAACATAAACATATTCTGTAGTCTGAAAATAAAAAAACCACAAACTATTACAAAAATAGATGCCATAATTGAACATGATTAAAACTAAATATTAATATTATATTCAGTTATATTTTGAATTTAGTTCTAAAATAAGAATTTAGTGTAACAAAACTTCAGTTTAATAATATAGTTCAATCAGGCTATACAATATTTATTGTTTCTTGATCTAGTCGTAATTATTTGTAGCTTTGCTGTACTGCCTGGCTTGAGATTCTAACAGAGTAATATAAAATGAGCGTATAATTTAAAACTTAATAATGTATGTCTTTAAAATCTAGACAATCCTACAGCAATGGTATGCACTAAATATGTATTATGTTTATGGCTAGAACTTCTTACTCTTTGAGCACCCATGATTCATACCAAAAACACAAAACAAGATCTTTTATATTGAATATAAATACTGTATATATTTATTGTTGTCTGTTTAGCAATATCCACGACTAAGTTTGTGTGCCTTTATAGATAAAATACCTTCACCATCCAAAAAGTCCATGAAAATACTGGAATATTTAAGAATAATATAAGTTTTGCCACTAAATAGTAATTCTAAATGTGGGAAGAAATTGTTAACTTTGCTGTGTGTATTTCATAGAGCTGTTGTCAAAGTATTTCTATAGGCTTAGATGTTGATTTTTAAATGTAGCGTCTGTTTTATAATAATCCTGGTATATTAAGTCATCAAAATAATCTCATTAATTCACCTTACTAATTATTTAAATTATGTATCATGCAATGGCAACATTCCAGATTCTATTTTTATAGCTTTTTTGACTAAGCACACTCCTCATTGATTCAAACTGAAACTGTATTTCTTTTTTATTATTTCTTAAGTTATTGGATTATTTTGGATTACTTAAGTATAATTTTGTACTTTCATAATTTACTGCATATTCATGTGAATAGAATGAGGAATAAAATTCATATTTTGTACACATTGTTTTATTTTACAAAGCCCATGTAGCCTACTTATTTCTATTTTGGAAAAAACATTTATAATGTTGCCAGAATACAAATACTTATACACCTAGTCTAATAAATGTTGATTTTATATGCATTAACCAGGGATTGGAAGACAATCAATAAATACATAGTAATTCACAATCATAATTTCTTCAGAACTTTATATGTATCTTTGTTTGTTAAATAACTTATTGCTGATATAACTGTAGATCCAGCAGTGACACCAAAAAGTGCTTGTAGAGCAGGGTGGTCCACATAGCCAAACACTGGGGATGCTAGTGTTGTGCCAACCTAAAACATGTTAAAAGTTCACGAATTCAAAAATATATTGCTAAACAATAATCTTAATAACAATTAAAAAAATTAATAAAATGTTGTCCTATTTAATTGGGTCAAGGGTTTGCATACTTTATGAAAGTACTGATAGCCTTCTATAGCCATAAAGTCACATTAAATAAAGTGTAATTTACCAATAAAAGCTGAATTGCAGTGTTCACTTTACTTATGAATGTGGGCGCGAGTTGAGCTGTAGCATGAGTCACATCAAAATAGCGACTAAGTGTTCTCTGTAAAAATTAAAAGATGGTATACAAATAACTTTAAAAAAGTGTTAGTAAACTTAAATTATACTTTCAATGTCAAAGTGGGTTTGACATGCAATAATGCTATTGAACTAGTTTTAATATTTTTTAAACTGCTTTCCTTAGCTATAGATGTGATAACAACATCTCCCTGAGTGAAGGAGTAGTTAAAATTTATTTTTGTAAATCAGCATTGTGTTTCATTTAATTATAAAGGGATAAGTATATCAATAAGTCTTCTGGTAAAATATTGCATAAGTTATTGTTTATGATGCATGTATTAAAATATTCTCTCTTTTCTTTATACCTATTGAGAAACCGAAAGATAAGTTCACACACAGGATTAATGAATATTGGTGAAACAATAGAATAATACAAATATGAATTCATTAATGAATATTTAAAGAATTATAAAGAAATGTCTAAGGAAGATACTAACTGGTGGAGGTAAGCTAATGTATCGTATAACAAATCCAGCAGATACTAGAGCAGCATCTCTTGCAACAATAAGTAATGTTAGTGCCAAAGGAATTAGGTTTTGACACGTGAGGGAAATAAACAGAGTTGCTATTAAAACTTTATCTGCCATTGGATCTAAGAATGACCCCATTTTTGAAGCTTGTCCTTTCCAGTTACGTGCAATCCAACCATCAAGCTGTGGAATAGTCAAAAACATTATATTCTTATTTAATCTTAAAGGGACTGCTTACTTGAGTCAATAGATCAGACCATTTAACCTTTAAGTCCTGTGTTAAAATATATAATTTGAAAAGAAACAAAAGACTAATCTACCTCCCCATAAACTGATGATCAGTTATATACTGATACCATCTCTCTCCGAAGTGATAATATATATTATAGACATTTTCCAAAATAACACAGAACAATATTGCATTTTAACTGCCAGGTATCAATCGATACTTATTCTGTCAAGACCGTTTCCAGTCTGGTCTAACTAGATAGACAAGATTACAACAACCATATTTACCAAATCTGTGATTCCTGCAAATGTCAATAAACCAAGTGCCAGGTGATAATCATCTTGCATAATAACATAACCCAGGTATGGAGACATAGCAATTCTTGTGAAGCATAGAATGTTAGGTATAGTAAAAACATTTTCTTTCTGAAAATAACATTATTAAAATAATTTTGATGTTATACTAAAAATGTAAAAAAATAAACTTCATTCTTCTTGATGAGTTCATGAAATAATCGAAACTTAACCCGTAATATTATAAGTATAGTAATCTTATATACCTCTACGACTCCTTCAATTTTTTCTTTGACTTTAGCTTTAGTTTCAAGAATATCTTTTATGAGGACCTCTTTTTTTACTCTTAGTTTTTTACTAGTTACATTCTTGTGTTGCTTTATATCCCGAACAAATTCCACACTTTTAAGTCTAATTTTTTGCTCTGTATCTCGAATTTGTTCTTTTTTTTGTTCAAATGCATCTTTTAAAGCTTCAGCTCTTTTTTCTAAATTCTGAAATGACTTTTTAGTATCTGACGAATAGACACATACAAAGGGTGAATAGTGCCAGAGATATTCGCGAGAACTATGTGCCTTTATAGTTGTATTCTTAAGAGATATGATAGTACTAAATTGTTTACAGTAAAAGCTTTGAAAGTGCTTAAATAGCCTGTTTGTTTTGAACCTCATTATTGAACCACTCGTAAGTCTGTTACACACAATTTTTTTTATTTTATGAATAATTATTCAAATATAATGAAATCTTACATTTCTATTAATATAATTGTTTACCCAACTAATTTTGAAAAAATAGGGTTCAATATTTAGAATTAAAGAAAATAGATACCTATTTACGTGCGAAATGTATATGATAATTGACAGATGTCAATCTTCAGATGTACAATAAAGTCTTTTTTATACCTTCCTAAATACTACATAATGTATGTAAAAATAAATAAAATATTATATTATAATCTATTACAAAATCCAACATAGTGAATTAGTATATAACCAAATGTTTCAATAAAACTGGAGACTTGACACAGAGTAATTCATTTTGTTGGATAAATGTCTATACTAAATAAAAATAAGTCTATACTCTGTAGATAATAGGTATTGTTCTGTCTAGAGGTGTAAAAGTAACGAAAAAAAGTGTACCCGTATGTATTCGTTACTATAACAATTAGTACTCGTTACTATAGTATCGTTACTTTACTCGTTACTTCTCATAAAAAAATCCAAGAATTAATTTAATCTCATTAGAGCGGCTTTATTATAATATCTCTTTTAGGATTAGAACAAAAAAAACGTGATAATAAAAAACAAAAACACATATGTATTTTTAATTTGTAAAAAATACTTTCTTACCTTCTTTCTTTTCTAATCTAAAACTTTGTTTACACAAACAATACCTTTAATACACAGTAAAAAACTTGGACGACGAATTTTCAAATTATACTTCACATAATAAACAAACATCGCTCTTTGTAACGTACGTTTTCAAATTCACCGAATATGTTCGCGCATGCGTAAAACATACGATCAGCAAATGTTTCTATACACACATCTATAGAACTTGCGTAAACTGATACATGTAGATACTCATACGAAAAATGCGAGTAACGAAATGTATTTGTGAGTAACGTTTCGTTACTCGGTACTAGATGGCGGAGTCCGCCAGGCGGACTCGTTACTCAGTACCGAATACATACGGTTTGCTACAGCTCTAGTTCTGTCACTTTACAAGAAAGTGTTAATATTATAACACTACTAAATAGTAAATTTATTATTTTTTATTATTATTTATCAAAAATACGTTGTAATTATAATAGAAAATAAAGTTACATTAATATACTAAGCTGTATTTTTATGCTGTACGTTTCAAAGTAATGTTTTTGAAGTATCAATATAATGTATATAGTGTTTAGTGATTCAAACTTTGTGGAATCAAAGGATCCCTTTTAATTCGATATTATGCCTTCGAAACTTTGTAGATTGTTAAAAATTATAGTTTCATATACTTATGCCGTGTCTGTATTATGTTTAAATAATTTGTTTTAAAAATAACATGATATCTTTCTTAAACCTGATGTATTATTATAACTTTATTTTGATTTGCAGTTAACCAAATTTAATATTTAAATTATGTGATAGTCACATGAAAAATGAAGGAAGATGAGTTTAACTATATGCTGTATCTCCTTGACAACCTCACTCCTGAAATTTATGAGGTAAGCATTGCACATAATAATGTTAAAATAAGCACCATTGTTATGCTTTGCTTAAAGATGTTAATACAATATTTTTATTATTTTAGGAACTCATTCAAGTATTTTTTGATATTAAAGAATCCAAAGCAATTCAACCTCTATCTCAAGACATATTAAATTTTTTTAAACAAAATCTCAAAAACAATCCTGTTACAACATCTGAAATATTGAGATTTTATCAAAATTATGTAAACGCTAAAGACTTGAAAAAAATAAATGCTCTTTATATAGATATTTTGAAGAATGAGGTATCTGAAAACTGTCCTGATAAGCTTATAACTGTTTTGTCATTAACTAAAAGTAATAATGATTTCTTGTCTCAGTATACAAATGAAATCCTTAATTATATAGCTGGAGATGTGTTTAAGCAACACCGGAAACAAATTTTAATTAGCTTAGTGCCACAAGAGAGGCCACAGTTAATTCACAGTCTAACAGACTTAATCCATAAAAATGATTCACATAAAGCATTTAAACTGACAGCTGAATATATGATAGAACTGTGCTATGAAGATAAAGTACATTGGTTACTAAAAGCTGCAGAAATATATAAACAACAACTACATGACATGAAAACAGTAACATTTCAAATAAACAACTTTACTAAACAATTACTAATAATGGTGCTTATTGATCTCACAAATTGTCCTGAAACATATGATCTAATATCATTGGTAAATCAAATGAGTAATATATTCTCAATTCTTGATACATACACAACAACAGATCAGCAGCTTCAATTTTATTTGACTGAAGTTAAGAGAGAGATGACATTGATAAAATTCTGTTTAGAGAATAATTGTAAAATTACGACAACGTCAGTTCTAAATCAAATTTTAGCACAAAGTGCACTAACTGTTATATCTCAAGTATGTCGACTTTCCAAGATGGATAGATATAAAGTATCAAGATTACTAAATATGAATAATGATTTTATTTTGGAGTTAAAAGCTTTAAGCCACAAACATGATAGAAGAAATAAAACAAGTGGAACTAATTGGGATATATCTATTTATAATAGCTACTGTATCATCACAAAAGTTATTGACACAATTTTAGATTCAGTTGAAGGAGCGGAAAACTTAGATGAAATCAATAATTCTATGGATGATATTAGGCGACTCCTTGCATCAATACAACCTTTACAATGTTGTATAGAAGTTATAGAAAACATATTTTCCTGTTTATTTTTGAGATATGAATATGTCTCATGTTATGAACATAATCAAGATTTCCCCTGTGGCACCCATTCTGAATGTTCATATTTTTACTCGAAAAAGCAAATGAAAACTCCAAACAATACAAAGAGTTCTAACACCGGTTTTATGTGTAACTCTTTAATTACTCAAGTCATTTTAAATACCTTAAAGACATGCTTAGAAAATTTATCAAATAGAAATGAAGTAACAACTTGTACTGAATCAAATACCTTAGCAAGATTAAAGCGACTTCTTGATGTGGTTAACCATTCAATATGGAAAATGCAGCTTGTTTCTACTCTATCTCCTGATACAACTCCCATACAGATGAAGCTATGTATGGACTATGTAGAGGTTGATAACAGTACTGAAGATGAAGATAGTGAGATTGATCTAAAGGTTACTAGAAAAAAACCGAAGGTACGGCGCCGTCATACCAATCCGAAACCGAACGGTGAAAGACCTATGCTCGCATCTACCATTTCAGCTTCAGATGAAGGTACATGCAATAAACATTCTTAGCAATAACAAATCCTTATTGGGGATAATACTGTATCGCTAAAATTGTCTATTCAGGCGTTGCAATTTTAAACACAAATTCAAAGATACGTTTTTTTACAGTTTGTAGCCTAAGGAAGAATACAATTGACTTTATATCGATAATGCTTGCAAAACCAAATAGCCTGGTAGCTTTGGCACTTTACCATAATGATTTTCCCAAAGCCAATCAAATTTTGGAGGTAAGCTTTCCATATTATTATAAGTTACATTAAGTTTTAAAATGGTTTAAGCTTTGTACAAAATCCGAACTGAATCGCAAATGAATCACAACTGTGATGATACAATTTTACTTTTATAAATGTCAGAGAAAAAAATCATTTCGTAACATTTAAATATAGATTTGATTCGCGTGATATGAATCGATCCAAAACTACACTATTCTATAAAAAAATTTACAACAAATTTCCTTTTTTTATTTAAGATACTTTAATCAAGTTTCTCATTAATTTATGATCAGTAGGGTCGGGTGTGATGTACCCAGATTTACAATTAATATACAAAAAGAGCAAAACCAATTTAGAAATAACAATCACAATAGTATTTATTCGTCACGGATGCGTTTAACTCCTAAGGTTGAATTAAAAATAGATCAAATCTTACACTTATGAAGATATGTGTCATTTTATTTCGATACCTCATAATGAATATTTTTATTTTGAAAATATACAAGTAATTATACTGTATACATTGTTAATCAATACGTTATGGTTTTAACATTCTCATTTATTGTTTCCGTGTTTATATAATAATTATTATCGCGTCGATAGCAAGTCAATAACCTATCATGTTGGCATAACAACATATTAATTGTCTGATATGCTAGTTTGTTTACATTGCACCTCATTATAATAATATTATGTTCATATATAATGATTTTGTATGTTTTTAAACTTTTTTATACTTAAACAAACTCGCCTCTGTTTCATGCTTATTGGTGACATATGAGTCATCGTTTCTCGTTTATTATTATGATAATTATTTTATCACCGATATTATAAGATAAACATAAAAAGATAGATACTTTATATAGAAATAGATTTATCTAATATATAAAATTCTCGTGTCACAATGTTGGTTCCCATACTCCTCCGAAATAGCTTGACCGATTCTTATGTATTTTTTATCCATATTCAGTAAGTCTGAGAATCGGCTACTATCTCCCTTTCAAACCTCAAAGTGATAAGGATTTTTTTATTTTTATTGTTTTATGATACAGCATACAAAAGTATGCTGTATCATGTATACATACAACCCCTAATTTTCACCCCTCTACGATTAACCCCTATTTTTTATTATTGTAGATAGTTTTATTGAACTAAAAAAATGTTTCCTAGAAATAATATACATGGCAAAACAAACGGTTGCCGGGTCAGCTAGTAATATATAAAATACATTTTATTTATTTACATTATTTGTTTTACATAAATGTAATAAAATACATAAAAAGAATAATGTTTTTCAGATGTTCGATTTGTCGGACTCTGAAATTGCTACTGAAGTCACATTTACGGAGCAACTCCGGCATCTGATTTCAAAAATTAAAAATATAATTTGCTATAGAGACTGCTCGAGATATCCCACTAAAGAGTTATCTGCCTTGTCTGTGGTTTCGACGGAAGTTATGGGCCTCGTTGAAGGATTCCTCGCTGCCAATAGAGCC